TGTTAGTTCCTGGAGAAGGTGTAAATCCCTCCCATTGCTGCTTCACCAACTGCAATGGCCCCTTAACCTCACGGCCATATACAAGTTCAAATGGGGAAAACCCTAAACTGGGATGTGGTACAGCTCTGTAGGCAAAGAGCAACTGCTGCAATACTAGGTCCCAATCATTGGAGTGCTCATTTACGAATTTACGTATCATGGCCCCCAAAGTTCCATTAAACTTCTCCACCATGCCATTTGTTTGATGGTGGTAAGGAGTGGCAACCAAGTGATTTACCCCATGAGCTTCCCAAAGGTTTTTCATAGTTCCTGCCAGGAAATTAGTCCCTGCATCGGTGAGGATGTCGGAGGGCCAACCTACCCTGGCAAAAATGTCTGCTAGTGCCTGGCACACACTTTTAGCCCTGGTGTTGCTTAGAGCTACTGCTTCCGGCCATCGGGTGGCAAAATCCATGAAAGTCAGTATGTACTGCTTTCCTCTGGGTGTCTTTTTCGGAAAAGGACCCAGAATATCCACAGCTACTCGCTGAAATGGAACTTCAATGATGGGGAGTGGTTGGAGAGAGGCTTTGACCTGGTCTTGGGGTTTTCCCACTCTTTGGCACACCTCACAAGACTGGACATAGGTAGAAACATCCTTGCCCATTCCCTCCCAGTGGAATGATCCCCCCAAACGGTCTTTGGTCATGTTCACCCCAGCATGGCCACTAGGGTGATCGTGGGCTAAGCTCAAGAGCTTGGCCCGGTATTTAGTTGGAACTACCAACTGTCTCTGAGGATGCCAGTCTTCCTGGTGTCCACCAGAAAGAGTTTCCTTGTATAAAAGTCCTCTTTCTATAACAAACCTGGATCGATTAGAAGAGCTGAGAGGCGGTGGGTTGCTCCGTGCCGCCGTCCAAGCTCTCTGGAGGCTTTCATCTGCTTCCTGTTCGGTCTGGAACTGTTCCCTTGATGCTGGAGACATCAGTTCCTCATGGGATTGTGGACCTAGGCTTGGTCCCTCTGGAAGCGATATAGGGGATGGAGCTGTTTCTGTTGACTGTGAACCGCTCTCCGCTGGTGCACTATGTTGGGATTCAGGCTCCGGCTGAGCCTCTTGGGTCGGGTTATCGGCTGCTGCCAGTTCAGGTTCGGTGGGGCCCTCTGGTGTTGAGGTTGCAAGTACTGGATTCAGTGCTGACACGGGGTCTGGTGTTGGTTGTTCGGCTGGTTCCGGTTCTGGGACTGGTTCCGTCTGGGTCTCTGGGACTGGATCCACTACTGCTGTTGCAGACATGGGCCTGGGGTCCAGGTCCATCACCTCTGACTGGGTCCTGATAGAAGTTTCCGGAACAGAGCTAGGCCTCACGGCTTGTTTAGCCTGGCTGCGGGTGACCATTCCCACCCTCTTGGCCTGCTTCACATGATTGGCCAAGTCTTCCCCCAACAGCATGGGGATGGGATAATCATCATAGACTGCAAAAGTCCACATTCCTGACCAGCCCTTGTACTGGACAGGCAACTTGGCTGTAGGCAAATTGAAAGAGTTGGACTTGAAGGGTTGAACCGTCACTTGGATCTCTGGGTTGATTAAATTGGGGTCCACTAAGGAAGCATGGATAGCTGACACTTGTGCTCCGGTGTCCCTCCACGCGGTGACCTTCTTCCCGCCCACACTCACAGTTTCCCTCCGCTCCAAGGGTATCTGGGAGGTATCTGGGCCTGTGGACCTCTGGTGTGATTCCGGTGCAATGAACTGTAATCTGTTGGGGTTCTTGGGGCAGTTGGCCTTTACATGCCCCAGCTCGTTACATTTAAAACATCGTCCAGCTGACGGGTCACTGGGGCGAGGAGGGCTGCTGGAGAACGGGGTGGTGGGACGATAAGGGGTCTGGAGGGCTCTTTGGGAGGTAGGTGGGGCTTTGGGCGGCCCCCGGTAATAGGGTGTGGTCTGGGGTGGTCCCTTCTGGTCTCCGCTCCAACTGCGACCAGTTTTCTTCTTCTCTGCCACCTCCACCCATCTGGCTCCAATCTCTCCTGCCTCGATTACAGTTTTGGGTTTCCCATCTAGGATGTATCTTTCTATTTCCTCAGGAACACCCTCTAAGAATTGTTCCATTTGCATTAGGAAGGGCAATTTTACTGGAGATTCAACACTTGCTCCTGATATCCAGGCATCCCAATGTTTCACAATGTGGTAGGCATGTCGGGTAAATGACATGTCTGGTTTCCACCTTAGGGCTCTGAACCTCCGACGAGACTGCTCGGGTGTTATCCCCATTCTGACTCTCGCCTTGGATTTAAACAGTTCATACTTGTTCATGTGTTCTTTAGGCATTTCAGCTGCCACCTCAGCTAAGGGTCCACTGAGCTGCGGCCTCAGCTCTACCATGTATTGGTCAGTAGAGATGTTGTACCCAAGGCAGCCCTTTCGAAGTTCTCTAAGAAGGCCTCAGTATCATCACCTGCCTTGTAGGTGGGGAACTTTCTGGGATGGGAAGTGGTACCTGGAGAAGGATTGCTAGGGTTTGTTGGTATATTCTGCTGGGCCTTTATCCTCTCCATCTCCTCCACATGCTTCCTCTCTTTTTCCTTCTCCTCCTCCACATGCTTCCTTCTTTTGCCCTCTCCTCCTCCACATGCTTCCTTGCCTCCATTTCCCTCTTGTGGGCAGCCTCTTGGCGTTGTTCTGCCTCCCTTTCTTGTTCCTTCTTCAGCTGCATGAGTTCTATCTGTCTTTCATGTTCCCTTTGTCTTTCCTCAGCCTGAAATTTGGCTAATTCGAGCTGTAGTCGAGCCGCGGATTTTGCCATTCTAACCTCTCTGTTTTTACTAACTTTACACCCGAGGTTTAGAAATAAACAAACAAAACTTGGCTGTAAAATTTTGCTGTGCTGGAATAGAATACCTATTCTCTGATAGCGACTGTCAGCCTACAGAAAAAGACAATTCCCTTGTCTCTGCTCTGGGCCCAAATTAAAGCAAAAAACCTCCAACTACTTGGAAACCTGCTTACCCAGCCCAAAGAAAAAGCAAATGGGTAGAACACACACCCCCTATTTACTTTTAGGAAGAAAAGAAAAAAAAACCTCTGGGTTGGAAGATTTCCCTGCAGGAGTTAAGTACCCTGCCTCCAGGCAAAGAAAACCTGCAATTCACAAGATAATCCCCTTTTGTCTCTGCTTGGCCACAAAGCAGAGAGAAACCAAGCTGCTTTCAGTTTCAAAGCTGCTTTCTGGACTTTCTTTCCAAAGAAAAAAAAAATTCCTTTTTAAAATCTGTATTTCTAGTTCAAAAAATCTCAACTGGATCTCAAATGATTTCAGGTTAATCCCACCACTGTGCCACCATGTCAAGGTTCCTCCCCCACTCTGAACTCTAGGGTACAGATGTGGGGACCTGCATGAAAAACCTCCTAAGCTTATCTTTACCAGCTTAGGTCAAAACTTCCCCAAGGTACAAAATATTACACCCGTTATCCTTGGAATGGCCGCTACCACCACCAAACTAATACTGGTTACTGGGGAAGAGCTGTTTGGACGCGTCTTTCCCCCCAAAATACTTCCCAAAACCTTGCACCCCACTTCCTGGACAAGGTTTGGTAAAAAGCCTCACCAATTTGTCTAGGTGACTACAGACCCAGACCCTTGGATCTTAAGAACAATGAACAATCCTCCCAACACTTGCACCCCCCCTTTCCTGGGAAATGTTGGATAAAAAGCCTCACCAATTTGCATAGGTGACCACAGACCCAAACCCTTGGATCTGAGAACAAGGAAAAAGCATTCAGTTTTTTACAAGAAGACTTTTAATAAAAAAATGAAGTAAATAGAAATAAAGAAATCCCCCCTGTAAAATCAGGATGGTAGATATCTTACAGGGTAATTAGATTCCAAAACATAGAGAACCCCTCTAGGCAAAACCTTAAGTTACAAAAAGATACACAGACAGAAATAGTTATTCTATTCAGCACAATTCTTTTCTCAGCCATTTAAAGAAATCATAATCTAACACATACCTAGCTAGATTACTTACTAAAAGTTCTAAGACTCCATTCCTGTTCTGTCCCTGGCAAAGAGCAGCACACAGACAGACCCAGACCCTTTGTTCCTCTCCCTCCTCCCAGCTTTTGAAAGTATCTTGTCTCCTCATTGGTCATTTTGGTCAGGTGCCAGCGAGGTTACCTTTAGCTTCTTAACCCTTTACAGGTGAGAGGAGCTTTCCCCTGGCCAGGAGGGATTTCAAAAGGGGTTTACCCTTCCCTTTATATTTATGACAGGTGGACTGTACAAAAAGTTTTAATTTTTCCCTAAGCTTCTCCCAGATCATAGAATTTTGATATGAGATTGTGCTGTCAGGCAAGTTTTTGACGAGGTGAAATTTGTCTAGAAAAGATAAGTTTACCCCTGCTGGTCCCCACAAGTCCCTTGTGGAACATTTCACCTCATATTGAATTGAGTATGTAACTTAGCATTATACTCTCCAATAACCCTTACAGTCATACAGGTACAGGCAATAGAGGGCATAGCTAGCTTAAGAAGGGGCGGGGGGCGTCGGCAAAGGGAAGAGAGAGACTGCCCCACCCAGCCCAGAAGTCTTGTCAGAAAAAAAAAAAAAGTTAGATTTCTTTGTGTGACAAAATAAATGTTAATGGCACCAGTCTTAGAGAACAAGTGGACAACTTAACAAGACTAAGGGTATGTCTACACTACTGGCTGGAACGGTGGGCAGTGATTGATCCAACGGGGTCAATTTATCGCATCTAGTCTAGATGAGATAAATTGACCCCCCACCCCCGAGCACTCCCCCATCGACTCCTGTACTCCACTATTGCAAGAGGCACAGGCGGAGTTGACTGGGGAGTGGCAGCAGTCAACTCACCATAATAAAGACACTGTGGTGAGTAGGTCTAAGTACATCGACTTCAGCCATGTTATTCACATAGCTGAAGTTGCTTAACTTAGTTTGATCCCCCACCCCCCAAGTGTTGACCAGGGCTAAGATTTAGGACTTCAGACCAATTCATTAAAACCATTTTTATTCAAACCAAAAAAACCTTATACATATTTACCAGTATAACATTTTAACAAAGCACGTGTATTGTCTTTCTATACTGCCAGTGTCTAAACCTTATATAATGAAACCCCTACTTATGCAGTGAACATCTTCCATCCAATGAAGACCAGCTGCCTTGTTTTCCCATGTGTTGAGTTTGTGCAAACAGCTAGATAAAAGTGAAGTGTTAACTGCATAAGAGCCCAGTGAGTTTAGCATTCGTTAAAGGTCACTGACATACCTGGATATGGAAGCCCATCAGGATGTAGGGGCACAGGCAGTCAAACAAAATTCTCAGTCTGTCTGTGCCAATCTTGACCAGAGACTTCTACAGCAATATGTTTTAGTCACTAACCTCTAAGACTGTCAGTTAGAATGTCAACTGTGGTTTAAGGGGGCATGGACCCGGCTAGGAAATCAACTTTGCAACCTGAATTTCACATCTATTCTGTGGTGTAGGGAGTCACATGTGAAACCAGACAAATGACTGATCTCACAAAACATTCCTTCCATCAGTAAGCACACGTGAACAAACAGTGAAAAAGTTTAGCTTAATGTACAAGAATCATGTGCAGTTAACCTAAATAAAAAGCTTTATTTCTTGAATTAAAATTAAATACTTGTTACCGGTTGTACTAAATGGCCATAGACATGGACAGATTTTTAAGTCTGCTTTTGGTATTTTGTTCTCTTCAATTGAGACAGTTTAGATATACTAGGAAGTGACATGCCAAATATTTCCCTGGGTCCCAGTGTGAAGCAGGCTTTGACCAGGGAACCTTTACAGTGCACAGTCATCCATTGCCTGCTGGGTAATAGGTTATAAACCTAGCATTGTTCTTTAAAAATATGAAAGAAAGCCTTTCCCTTAAGGGCTCTTACTAGACCCATCATTGTGCAACCTTGATCCTTGATTTTATAATGTACATATGGTCCCTTGAATCTTCTAAGCAGCACTTCGCTTTTCCCAGCAAGTTAACAGGCTCCTCTTGAAACCAAGAGCAGGTCAGCACTTGTCCCTGTTGCCTGCAATAGAAAAGCTGCTGTAAACTTCTTGTAAATGCTTCTACGACTGTAGATAAACAGTAACTCAAAAAGGTCACATTACCTAAGACATTATTAATTCCTGCAACCAAGTTCCGGTTCTGCATTTCCCCAATATGGAATGGGTAGTTTATATAATGTGAAGTCTTGTTTTGACTATATTGGAGGGATAATTGCAGGCAAGTGTGGACACTTACCCATGATCTGAACCATTGATACTCAGAGCTCAGTGATTCAGGAGCCAAAATTAGCGATCAATGTTACCCAAAGAAGCCACAATAGTGTGAATTCATGGTTTCATTTACTACTTTTTATATATACATTTTTCCCTCACAGCAAAATGAGTGACTCAGTATTATTTTTTCAACCACAATTGGTTAACAATTAAATCAGTGTTTTAACATGTGCTGGAAAGCCACAGGAGACCCATGCGAGCCTCAATTTGAGGATCACTGACCTGAACACACACCCCAACTTACCTTCTTTTAAAGGAGTCTTGGGAGCAACATTTTCCTTGCTATCATGTTGGAAAGCTTTAGAAGAATCAAAGCGCCTGATGCCCTGAATTTCATGCAGTTGCTCCTGAAGCTCTCTCTGTGCTTGTTTTTCCTTAGCTACCTGAGCACGGAGTTTTGAAACCTCCTGAAGTAGGAAACCATCAACACTTTAGTATAAGTCTGAGGTCACCACATTATGAAGGAAGCAGGTATGAGACAGTTATGTTAAAATATGTTAAAGAACACTAGCCAAGAGAAGTCTGTAAAAACTGAAAGTTAAAGTTCCCAGCCATCCAAAATCTATTACTTACATCTGACTCAAGAGCATGGCATTCTTGAAGCCCTCAAGTCTATTAGCGTCTCATAGCACCAATCAACCTCTCCTGCTTTCTTTGCAAGGCTCTAGCCAATGTGGCAAATGGATCTTGGGATCCATTTCTATTAGGTCTAGCAAGAGGAAAAGCTGAGAGATTTGTCCTCTCACAATTACCTGGTTTGTAAACATTAAACACTAGCCCAGATGTTGATGCCTAGAGCTGAAGCAGCTCAGTCCAACTCCAGGCTAGAGAGAAAGTTGTCCCAGATGATTTCAGTGTTAAACTCTGAATACATTTCAGATGTTTAGTGTCAGCATATGGATAGTTTCTTAAACTAAGGTGATGTTGCTTACTGGCTGGACATAATACATGCATTAGACATGTCAGTTGACAAACCTGTTTGAGCTGGGCATTCTCATCTTTCAGCTTCATAACATGTTTGATTTTCTGCCTCTGATTCTGATGACCCAGTAGCTTAGCATATGCATCACTTAATTTGTTCAGCTCTTCTTGGGCTACACCATGTTCATTCACGAGAGCATTCTTCTCTGCCTCAAATGCATCCAGTTGTTGCTGAAAGAGTTTGAGTAGATCATTCAGTGGCATTGTAATATCTTCCAAGTTAATGCCAACTCTTAATAGTTGAGTGTTGACCCACAGTGATGAATCTTAAATTTCGAGGTGCTGCTTTAAGAAAAAAAAGTGTTTAGCACAGAGACTAACCTGAAAAGGCTTAGTTTTGTTGTGCAAGTCTTCATAGAGAGTGCGCCAGGTTTGTATCTCTTCTTTGAAGCCAGCAGCCACCTTTTCATCTACAGTTTTCCTGAACAGAAATACAAGCACAGTTTCTTAAAATATAAAGATTTTTAAAGATCATGCGTTTGCAAAGGAAGCTTTTAAAAACCACTCAGTCTAGTCTTAGATGTATTCCCATTATTATGCTAGTCAGAGATCTGAAGTCACCTTGATCTTTCAACTTCAAGCTGTTTCTTGAAGTCTTCAGTTTGCTCTTCCAGTTTTGCCTGAAGTTTAGTTATCTGTGCTATGCAGGATTCCTTGGTTCTCCTTATTTCTGCTTCTTTTAGTGCTAGCTTTGTTTGGGCATCTAGAAGCATCCTAGGGAAGGGAAAAAACAACAAAACAGATGTTATTTCTTCATGAAATATTTGGAGAATTTCAGATTTAATCAGTAGTAAGTAAAGCTTGCAGCATTCCAGCTACTATACTTACAGAAAGAATGGTTAGACTGAAACAGCAAGGTTTTCACTGGCAATGTTGCATAAGGCAGCCAACAGAGAGATTGTAAGGGGCTATCATCAGATTAAGCCTACAATATTTGTAATGTTTCAGTAGTTCAGACAGTATCCCTTTCTGTGCAAGGAAAGCTTCTGTAAAACCTATTGTTGATCTGTCCAATGAGGACTGTTTTGGCACATTAAATTAACTCAAGGTATTTATGTCTTATTCCAGTAGTTGTCCGACACAAAAAAACAGTTGGACACAATTTTGGGTGTCTAGTAATGGATTACCCACTCAAGCTACGTCTCATACCAACAGACCTGCAAAGCTAAACTAAACAGGTGCGATTGAACAGTTAATATAAGCAGAAGCTTAGACTCCGAAGAAGAGCCCTTAAGTAAATCCAGCAGGAATTGTTCACTTTTGTCTCCTTCAGCATTTCAAGGTGGTGTGAACTTCAAAGTGTTTTAATGAAGCTATTTATAAGATTCTAAACTGAACAGTTAGCGACTTCTGTAAGTCGCTATTTATCCAAGCTACAAACTTCACTGTACACAGAAGAAAAAAAAAAAAAAAAAAAATCAGTTGGATGTCAAGAGGCCAACTGCTCTTTTATAATCTTACCAAAGACTTTTAAAATGCTACTTCATTCACTGGTAATCTTGTGGTTTACTAGACATATCTTGTTGTAGTCTTAAATACTGGACATAAAAGGTTAAATAAAAGTGAACTTGTGACAGCTTTCAAGACAGTTAAATACCAGTGTAGTGTATCTTGACATCCTAGATTAAAGAGCAAGAGAAAGTTGGGTAGCACAGATTAGTCACAAAATGTTTGACCTGGATGGACTTTAAGGCAGGCATCTTGAGGGACGAACCCCAGAATTGCAGAATTAGAGCTGTGAGATTTAGGTCATAGAAGGCATTTGGAGAAGTAGTAAATAGGGATAGAAAGAGAGAAGACTGGAAGTTCCCTTTTCAGTGTAGCCAACAGCAAGAAGATTTTGGGTGACAAGCATTTACATACAATGGAATAGATTGATAGTCCATTAACCAAGTTATGATGAGGGATTTTAAGTGTGTCACTGGGGGACCAGGTATTGTCCTTAGCTATCCAACTAAATTGAGTCACCTCCCACCCTGCAGTGCATATACTGGTGGATTTTGCACAGCAACCTCTCAATGCCCTGCAGCTGAAGGTCTATTCATCCAACAACGAGCAACAGTTCATAACACTAGTTGTACTGGAAAAATATTCCATATGGTCTGGCCATAGGCATGTCAGAGATGCCCCCCAACCACTTTAAGGAATAATCAGATGGTCCATTACCTTGCATATTCCTCTTTTGCCTTGTCTTTAGCATGTTCCAGCTCCTGGAGTTGCTGTTGTGTATCCTGACCTGCTTTTCTCAGCTCAACTAGTTTCTCCTGTAGAGAAGAATTGTCCAGTTGGAGACATGCCATTTCTTCAGTCATAGATCCCTTGTAACTAGAAGGAAAAAGGTTTAGAATCTGTTACTTAAATGATAAACTTCATTTTGCAGTGTTCAGTCCTTTTGAAGACAGTAACAATCCACCATAAGTTTGATGCAAGTTGTATTTGAGATCCCCATTACAGAAGCGTAGAAGTGTAGAGCCAGGTGCTTCAAGTGGTCATCTAATCAATTCTGCCTCAGCATGCAGATGAAGTATTTCAAGACCATCTGTGAAAAGGTGTGTCTAATCTGTTAGAGACCTCCAATGACAGGGACTTGACAACCTCCTGTTTCAGTGCTTAACTATCCTTATACAGTTAGAACTTTCCTATTATCTAACCTAAGTCTCCCTTCCTACAGATTAGGACAAGAAGCAATCGGCTTAATGTCAGTGGATTGGAGAACAAATCACTTACTTCCTTATGACAGCCCTTAACATATGAGATGATTTATCAGGTTCTCCCTCAACCCTCTCTTCTAGACTAAAGAGTATTTAAAGGAAAAAAAAAAAAAAACAAACACACACCACACGCTATACCTTTCCTAATAGGTCAGGTGTTTTAAATCTTTTATCATTTGTCCACATATTTCCTAATGTGGGGTGCACAGAATTGGAAAGACTCCAGCTAAGGTCTCATCAGTTCCAAGTAGAGTGGGACAGTTGTCTCCCATGTCTTACATATAAGACTGTGAATACATCCCAGAAGGACATGACCCATTTTTGCAACAGCATCACATTGTTGACTCTTATTTCATTTGTGATCCATTATAACCCCAAACCTTTTTCTACAGTATTACTGCCTAGCTAGTTTCCCCCCCCCATCTCTTCGTTGTGCATTGATTTTCCCTTTCCAAGTGTAGTACTTTGCACCAATCTTTATTGAATTGCATCTTGTTGAATTCTGACCAATTCTCAATTTGTCAAGGTTGTTTTGAATTCTAATCCTGCCCTCCAAAGTGTTTGCAACCCTCCCAGTGTGGTGCAATCCGCAAGTTTTAGAACCATACTCCAAGTCATTAATGGCACATCAAATATAGGTTTACAGATACCTACTGGAGTGCCCAAATTATAAGCAGAGTCTGCAATCCTGTTGAGATTGTACCAAAACTTCAAGATTCAATTCAATTAGTACAGATGACCAAATACAAAAAACCCTCTCCATTTCTGTCAGAAGTCACCAATGGGTCAGACATAACTCTCTGAATGCCCTTTTGTATGGCAAACAGTTACTCATTGTTTTAAAAGTTAGGAAAGTACTGGCAGACAAGCAAAGTGTTTTTAAAACTGGCAGTGGATACAGAAATAGCAAAGAGTTTAAAAGTACAAGATTACCAGTTCAATTTTAAAATACTTTGCAACATCATGTGTAGTTTCCAGGGATTAAAACAACAGTATCCCTTATTGGAGAACAGCTTGTGATCAGAAATTTAGCTATCATAATATTCAGCTGGATCTTAACAGAAAGTTAAGCTGCACTTGCCAATCCAAATAGTCCTACTGTAGTTTTGGTTTCAGGAATGGGAATATCATTTGGAAAGTGTCCCACTAACATTAATAGTGTTGGGTTACAAGTGTATGGCACGTGTCATGTACACAAGAAGTTGAGTGAAAGATTTAAAGCCCACATAGGTGCTGACTCCATGGGTGCTCCAGGGCTAGAACATCCATGGGGGGGCAGATGCTCAGCACTCTCTGGTCACCTGTTTGGCACCAGGCAGAGCGGGTGGAGCACCTACCTGGAAAAAGTGAAAGTCTGAGCCTGTGAAAGCACACTTACCGATATCTCCCTCCAGCATCTAGAGTAAATTTGCATACCTTTCAAATTCAGCGACATTTTCTCCAAGTTTACGCAGCGTGTTGCTGTGCTCTTCTTGCATCTGAAGAATAGCTTTACTGTGTGTTTCATTGGTTCTCTCCAACTCAGCATTCTTCCTGAAAATAGATTTTAATATTCTATTCTTGAGTCCAAATCTTGGTATTGGTCTAGGACAAACAGCTGTGGTTGTGCTTCCTGTTACCTCTGATCCAAACCAGTATATTTCTTTCCTCAACACCACTTTCAAGAGTTAAACATTACACTGCCTAGCGGGTTTGATTTTACAAAATTTCCTTTCCCCAGAGCTTTAATTTCAGTTGTGTCTGTAGGTTGGGATTTTTACCATGGAAGTAGAAGGAATTTGAGTTCAGGTGGGAGGAAGAAGAGCTGCATGCAAGGCGCTTAGCCCAATTAATCTCAACTCTGAGATTAAAACAAACTGTTTCTTCCCTGGTCCTCACAGCATGTCTCCTTGGGATAGTTTAATTTCTCCAGAACCCTAAAGTCAATGTTATCCAGTTGGGCTAGAGTATTCTAGATTTTAAATCTTCATATGGAACAGAAATAGCTCTTTAGAGCTAGCAGGTCTAATAAGATCTTAAATAGAGTACATTTGTGCACAACACCTTGCTTTATGTACTTTTTCATGATTCTGAATCAGTAAACTGTCTAGCAGTTCATAAATTACATCTAATTCTGAGATTAGACACCCTAATGTTGGATAGAAAAATAAAAATAGTAATTGATTTAACACCTTTGCTACAGGGTTAGCTGCTGTTCAACCAGTGTTTTTAACTTAACACTTCAGTCCTTAAGTTGCTGAGCAACTTGGTGTCCTTATAACTAAGGCCCTATCAAATTCATGGCCATTTTGGTCAATTTCACAATCATAGGATTTTACAAATAGATTTAAATAGCTGAATCATGACATTTTACTGAAAATTTCAGCGTTGTAATTGTAGGGGTCCTGACCCAAAAAGGGAGTTATGGGGGAGGGGATGGGGGTCACAGTGTTAGTGCAGGTGGGATGCGACACTGCTATAGGCAGTTGTGCTGCTGCCTTCAGAGATGGGCAAATGGAAAGTAGTGGCTGCTGGTTGGGAGCCCAGATCTCAAGGCTCAGTCGCTGCCAGCAGCACAACTGCCATGGGGAGGAGGGATAGTGCAGTGTTTTGAGCATTGGCCTGCTAAACCCAGGGTTGTGAGTTCAATCCTTGAGGGGGCCACTTAGGGATCTGGGGCAAAAATTGGGGATTGGTCCTGCTTTGAGCAGGGGGTTGGACTAGATGACCTCCTGAGGTCCCTTCCAACCCTGATAGTCTATGAACTGCCACTCTCTGGCTGTCCAGCTCTGAAGGCAGCACAGAAGTAAGGGTGGCATTACCACAATTCCCCCCTAAAATGACCTTGCGCCTGCCCTCCTGCAACTCCCTTTTTGGGTCAGTACCCCCCCCCCCATTTGAGAAACATTGGTATCCCCTGAATCTGTATAGTATAGGGTAAAAGCACACCAAAAAAGGACCAGATTTCACAGTCTGACACATTTTTCATGGCTGTAGATTTGGTAGGGCCTTATAACAGATACGATTGAGTTGTTAAAATTTAAGAGCTGCTTTTTGAAAATACTGCATTAGATCCAATTGCTATAGAAAAATGAGCTGGTGGCCACTGGTCAATTTAGTCCTGTGTATTCTAGTGAGAATTTTTTTTTCTTAAACTAAACCTGGGATTGGCATTTGTATTTCCAAATTCATTACAAGCAACAGTTAGAGTTACTCTTTTCACAAACCCTTTCAGCTTTGCTTCCATCTGTGCTAGCTCTTCAGCTCGGGACTTGTTCTCTTGTTCCAAGCGCTTTACCAGCTTATCAGCCTTTTCTTCCTTAATATGCAGTTTATCCAACTCATCCATAGCTTCTTCCAGTTCTTCCTCCAAAAGGAGCCTCTCATTTTTCATCTCTTCTTGAAACTCTAGCAGCTTTTGATACATGGAAGTGGAAAGTTCCTGCAGGCACAAACAGTACAAATACATAGCTATTAGTACAAAGGAGTTTTGTTTAAGTTTACACAGTGATCTTAGTTTTCATGAACAAGATTAAGGGCTTGTGTACATGAGGTTGACTAGCTAACAGCTATTCTACTATAGCTATGCCAGTCCGTTTCCTCTGTGTAAACAAGCCCTTACTCATCAATACATTCACAATGGGTTTAATCTAAACCAGAGCAAGAATTCAATAGCATTTGCTATGGGAGTAGATCAAGTCTGTATTTCGTTTACCTTCTCTTGTTGCAGCTGAGAACAGATCTCCTCCTGTTTCTGCTGAAGTTTTTGGTGTTCTTGCTCCTCTAGGAGGAGTCTCTTTTTCAAGCTTTCTATTTCAGCATTCATACTTTGCTCTTTTTCTCTGTTCTCCATTAAGAGTTTCTCTATGGAAGAGAAAGTTGCCAATATAAAAAAAGCTTTGAGGACAGAATAATTAAGATCTGTGCCCTACAGTACATTATGGTGCTAATAAGTGATGGTCACGTAAACACCACCCTATACTGGAAACCTACTGACCGCTATTCCTACCTACATGCCTCCAGCTTTCACCCAGGCCACACCACACGATCCATTGTCTACAGCCAAGCTCTACGATACAACTGCATTTGCTCCAACTCCTCAGACAGAGACAAAACACCTACAAGATCTCTATCAAGTGTTCTTATAACTACAGTACCCACCTGCTGAAGTGAAGAAACAAATTGACAGAGCCAGAGGAGTACCCAGAAGTCACCTACTACAGGATAGGCCCAGCAAAGAAAATAACAGAACGCCAGTAGCCATCACCTTCAGCCCCCAACTAAAACCTCTCCAACGCATCATCAAGGATCTACAATCTATCCTGAAGGATGATCCATCACTCAGATCTTGGGAGACAGGCCAGTCCTTGCTTACAGACGGCCCCCCAACCTGAAGCAAATACTCACCAGCAACCATACAACAGAACCACTAACCCAGAAACCTATCCTTGCAACAAAGCCCGTTGCCAACTGTGTCCACATATCTATTCAGGGGACATCATAGGGCCTAATCACGTCAGCCACACTATCAGAGGCTCATTCACCTGCACATCTACAATGTGATATATGCCATCATGTGCCAGCAATGCCCCTCTGCCATGTACATTGGTCACACTGGACAGTCTCTACATAAAAGAATAAATGGACACAAATCAGAAGTCAAGAATTATAACATTCAAAAACCAGTCAGAGAACACTTCAGTCTCTTTGGTCACTCGATTACAGACCTAAAAGTTTCAATTCTTCAACAAAAAAAAAAAAACAAACAAACTTCAAAAACGGACTCCAACAAGAGACTGCTGAATTGGAATTAATTTGCAAACTGGATACAATTAACTTAGGTTTGAATAGAGACTAGGAGCGGATGGGTCATTACACAAAGTAAAACTATTTCCCCTTGTTTATTCCTCCCCCCACTGTGCCTCAGACACTCTTGTCAACTGCTGGAAATGGCCCACCTTGATTATCACTACAAAGGTGTCCCCCCCCTCCCCCAGGCTCTCCTGCTAGTAATAGCTCATCTTAAGTGATCACTCTAGTTACAGTGTGTATGGTAACACCCATTGTTTCATGTCCTCTATGTATATAAATCTCCCCACTGTATTTTCCACTGAATGCATCCGATGAAGTGAGCTGTAGCTCACGAAAGCTTATGCTCAAATAAAATGGTTAGTTTAAGGTGCCACAAGTACTCCTTTTCTTTCTACAGTACACTGTGGTGCTCCATCTTCACTTTAAAAAAAAAAGTGACACACACACACACACCTTTCCCACAACTTGGTGAGCTGCTGAGTTTATCATATGAACATTCTTCCATCCTAGGTGACAAGAGCAACCATTAAGACTTTACCTCCCTTAGCATCAAAGGAAGTGGGGCAGGAGGAAGCATAACCCTCTCCCAGAACAGCTACTGGGGATTAGAGAGGGGTGTGCAGAGATAAGAGTCACTTAGTGGAGTCAAGAGCCAGAAGATACCACGGTATGCAGCAGTGAATTGTGACAATGCAATGCTGCACTGCTGCCTGGAGAATGGCTTACACCCCATTAGCCACCATATTAGAATATGGAACTAGAACCAAAGTGATTTTTCAAGTGGAACCATACTTACCCTGGAAGTTCCAGAGTGTAAACTAACTGGTTCAGACAACTCCCCATTCCCACTCCACCCCCATCTGCTGCTGGGTGAAGTTTTTAGTATTTGTTAGTAACAATACTTCTGACTAGAATCTGGGATAATAGGTAAAGAAGCAGATCAGTGTAACTACATACCACAGTTTTGACTTGGGACACACTAGCTGACATTTCAACAGAATCATGTTACATAAGGTCTAAATGAAATCAGTTTGGACATGGGCCCAGAGACTCAGCCCATAGGCTATAACAATTACCTTTTTCTTGTTCAAGCAACTGACACCTTTCATTAAGCTCTTTGATTAGTTTAGATAGCTCTTCTTCTTTTGTTGTAAAACAATCTTTCAAGGCCACAATGTCCTGGTCCTTTTGTGCCAGTATCTGCTCCATATGGAGAAGATCTAGTTTGTACTTCTCTATCTGTTCTGCAACTCCACTAAGAAAAAAAATCCAGATATGTCAGAATTACATTTTGCTTAATTTTATTTGTTTTGTCACAATTTTCACCAACATAATCCCCATGTAACATTGAGGTCCCAAGTATCTAAACAGGACTTGGGAAAGATTCCTTTCTAGGTGGAAGAGCTCAGGACAGGATCTATATTAATGGGCAATGATGGAGATCAGATCTTTATAGTTCACCTTTCAAAGTGGAAGCTGCATTAGAGAGTTAACTTGTACTGAAGATTGGTTGTGTTAACTAAAAGACTCAGATCATTCCTCCTATGGAAAAATATTCATGAAGACTCCTATGAAATTCTCTGAGTGCCCCCCAACCCCAGCCACTTGGACTGGTTGGGGGTTTGCCCTTCTCCAGAGAGAAGTGGAAACCAGTCTCAGATTTATGCAGGAACTGCACAGATCCAAGCAAGTCACAATGTCCGACTCACTGCATGAAGATACAAGGCTCTGCTTAAGCACCCCCCCGACCCCCGTGCATCTTTGTATCTCTCTGCACCCCTTTAAGGGGCAGGGTGGATTTCCAACAAAGAAAGTGTTACAGAATTTACTGCAGCCCAATTCCACACTAATTGTACATATGCCTTCTCTATATTGCAATCTGCAATACACTTAGCTGTCCCATTGATCTTGGAAGACATATGTATTGAAGGTATGTCTACACAACTGATGTTAAAGAGCTGCTGGGGCTGTGTAGTGCTGAAACTTTCCCTCGCGGAAGTAGTTTTATTACAGCACTGACTACCAGGGCTGCAAAAAAAAACCAAAACATACCTTCCACGAGAGGAATAGCTCCCACGCTGTAGCACTGTCTACACTGCCACTTTACACCACTGACATTTGCATCGCTCCGGGGGTTGTTTTTTCACACCCCTGAGCGAAGAAAGTTTTGGCACTGTAAGTGGCAGTGTAGACCAGGCCTAAGAGGGAAAATCCAGCATATAAAAAAATGAAAACAAAAACAAAAAAAACCACCACACTCTGCATAGACAGTGTTGACCAGACAGTTTGTACATAGTAGTGTAGAAACTACTTCCATAGAGAGGTGAAACCTTGCTCAAAACTTCCAAGAGTCAAGCTAATGTGAAGGTTTTAAATTTAAGAAATGGACTAGAGATTTCCCCCCACCTATATAAAGGGAAGAGTCATAATACTGATGTTGGTACAATTCAAATTAGAAATACCATTAAAGGCTTGATCAAGCCCCTACAACTAAAAGACTAAGTGACACTTGATTTGTCAAATCTAAAATAGAGATTTGTTACCTGAGTTCTGTAATATATTCCAAGAGTTTCTCAGTGTCAGACTTTTCTTCAACCTTGTCTCTCTCAGTAGCAGTTCTAGAAATAAGACATTTAGATGCTGCACTTAACATGACAGTTCTAAAACCAGATACTCAAGAAGAGCAGCACAGAGCTAGAGGTTAATAAGTAGCTGCCTGCAGACAACTAACAGACATTCTGCATTCATCTGTGGATTGCTAGTATTAAGGCATCTAATCATGCACCAGAAGACACCTAGACAACAAGTAATTCAGTACTACACAATATGAAATGAGAGTTGCATTTCAGTAGATTTTGCATTGTCAATTTCAAATATGAATGTTCAGCCATTCACATATATGTGGGAAGGAACAAACAAACTTTAAGGAGAGCTAATGCTAACTCACAGAATAAGTTAATTCAATCTCTTCCATACCCAGCCTAGGGGCTCTCTGTCCTACAGTTTGGGAAGGAGGTGGCAGGAGATGCCGAGGTCCTGCCTAGTCAGTGACTGCTGCTTCTGGTAGAAGTGAGAAAATGGTATTAGGGATCTGAAAAATCAAGTAGATTTTTCTGCCCATCTGTGATGTTCATGATTAGGGACACCAGTTGTACGACAACCAGGTAGCCTTCTTCAAAAGGCTGAAGCCTCTCTCATGTCCTGGCCACATTAACAAGTCAACATACCGAGGTCTCTCATGACTAGTTGCATTCCTCAGGAACTATTAGCTTTAAGTTTACCAGTAGAATCATCACCACCAGTTTCATGAATTTTACTTTTATTATCAAACTCAAAGTGCAATGTTAGTAGTCAAATGACTGAGCTGAGACATTGAAAAGTGTACAAACCATATTTAGTATAATGCTTGAGCTCAGGGTGGTATGGGTCACACTTGAGATTCATTTTGAAGTGTGCACTGATATAGAGAAGCAGTAGCCTGCACAGTGAGGTGAAGTACACTAGTTGCTGACTGGCTTCAGGGTAGAATTTGAGGTGATGGCTGGGGCCTGCCTCTCTGCCCTTGTGATACACCACCTCAACTTGAGGCACTTGATTTGCAGTCTTTAGAAGCCAACTTTTTCTTACATAGAAAGGCATTCTCCACAATGGGTATTACAGCAAGTTGGAGGGGGAATAGCTGGACCTTCAGGTCAGAAATTCTCACAACACCCTCGTGAGGGAGAGAAGTGTTGTTCCCCATTTTGTAGTTGGAGAACAGAGGCATAAGTTTCACTGAAGAGTCTACAGCTGGGTCAGGAACTGAATCCAGATCGCTTGAGTCCTAGTCCAGTGCCTTATCCTCTAAACTATCCTTCTTACCATATTATACATGGTAGTTCACCTGAGTGTTGGGCAACTGGTTACCTACAGTACACCAATAGCTCAAGTTGATACAAAAGAAATTAAAGTCTTGCAGGATGCAATCCCTTCTTTTTGCTATGGAATGGAAGTCACCCAAGGTTGACTGATTTTAATTGCAGTCACAACTGGAGTACTAGAGGAGCTATTTTGTCTGCTACAAATAGATGCTAAGGGGTAGTGTCATATACTAGGCACCTCTTACAACCCCTATACAACAGGGCCTAAACCGGATTTGCAGGGTGACTTTATTAGTTTCCTCCTACACCAGATTCCAATCCACTGGCAAGCTCCTGTCAACTCCCTGTTTTCAGTACTTCTCTTCTCCTTAGCATCTGAGGGCACTCATTTAAATTTGCCATATGTTACACACTTACAGTTAAGTATAAGCAACAATGAAAGAGTTGGTAATTTACACCAGAGGTAATTCCTCTGTTACTTACAGTTTTTCTTCCAGCTGTGCTACTTTTCCTTTGGAATGCACTAGATTCCTCTGGACTGCCTGCAGTTTCATTTCCATGTCTTCCTGTTTAGCAAGGACATTCTTTGAAGAGAAAAAACAAAGTCATTAGTTAATAGCTATAGCAGTTTCACAAGCATAAAAATACAGCCAGCAAGTTATATTCCTACAATGCATCGTGGCAGGCTTATTTATCCAGGGTAGTTTGCTACCATAAATCAGCATTTACTATTGGTACAGCCCAGTGCAGTTGGAGTCAGATTATGACTTTGGAATTCAAGATGAATATGAAGTGAGAACGTATATCAGGAAGGTATATTAAAGGCAAATTTTTACAGAATTAAATGACACTATTTTGTTTTCTTTCTGGAGGCAGTGGAGTCTAAACACATAATTGGATTGTGATCCTGTATGATTGAAGATAACCATTTGTATTGCTGTTATACAGTTGTAACAAATCTTATACAAAGTGTATCATGTAAGCGGTCAATGGAAAAGTTACAATTTGTCAAGAATGATTATTCTGGTTAAATCCATGCATCTCTGTAACTTCAGATACAGATCTATATTCAATATTTGTATCTCAAACATGTATTGTATGCCTTAGTGACACCTCCAAGCTAGATTTATATCAGGGCTAGCCAACTATGTGTTGGTGGCCCATTAAGGCCTGCCTCTTCAATGGCTCACAATGGGCCATTGAATGGGCCTTTCCTGTGGTTGCAGGGGTGGGCAAACTTTGTGAATAGAAATTGTATGGGAGACCATGAATACTCACAAAATCGGGGTTTGGGTGGGGGGGCGCTCTGGGAATGAGGGGTTTGGTCTGCAGGAGGGTGCTTTGCGACAGAGGGATTCAGAGGGTGGGAGGGGAATCAGGGCTGGGGCAGGGCCAGGAATGAGAGGTTTGGAGAGCGCTCTGGATGGAGTTTGAGGGGTTTGGAGGGGGGTGGGGAAGATAGAAGATCAGGGCTGGGGTAGGGGATTGGGGCATGTGGGGAGGCTCAGGGGTGCAGGCTCCAGACAGTGGTTACGTCAAGCAGCTCCCGGAAGCAGTGATATATGTCCCTTCTCCGGCTACTATACAGATGCACGGCCAGGCAGCTCTGCACCCTGCCGCTTTTGTGGGCACCGCCCCTGCAGCTCCCATTGGCCGGGAACCACGGCCAATGGGAGTGGTGGGGGTGGCGCTTGGGGCAGCATGTGGGGCCAAGCCCCCTGGCTGCCACTAGGCATAGGAGCCAGAGGGGGGCCATGCCACTGCTTCTGGGAGCCATGTGGAGCGGCCCCTGACCCTGCTCCAAAGCTGAAGCACTAGAGCAGGGCAAGCCCCAGACCCTTAGCGGGAGCTTGAGAGCAGGATTAAAATGGCCTGCAGGCTGTAGTTTGCCAATCCCTGTGTGGATGCCTCAGACAGCCAGGAACCAATGGCCACCCCTGTGATGAAGAGGTGCCTTGCCCCCAACCCCAGAGCTGCTACAGCAGGGAGAGGTTCCTCCCCCTGCTTCACTGTCCCAGCCAGCCCAGGTGCTGTTGTGGCGAGAGCGAGCGGCGCCCCCCCCCCCCCGGAGTCCTCCCACACCCCTGTAGCCTGGGGCAATCTGCACCCCCAACCCCTCATCCCTGGCCCCACCCTAGAGCCCACACCCTCAGACGGAGCCCTCACCCCCCTGCACCACAACCCTCTGCCCCAGTCCTGAGCCCCTCATCTCCAGCCCCACCAACCCTCTCCCTCCCACACTCCAAACCCCTTGGTCCCACCCTAGCCACATGAATTTTGTTATGTGCACCAATATGGAGATGTGTGACACATCACCTCCATATTGGTGCACATTAATTTTTCCCACATGTGCAGAATGAATTTTGAGAGAACACTGCCAGAGCTATCTCCATTTTGCCTCATTCCTGCTCCAGTTCTCTGGACTATGGGTTTACAACTAAAATGAGTATTTTTAACTATGGACTGAGGACCTTCCAATCTTTTGGAAGTTACCAGACAGACTTTTGCAAGCCAGCAGTCTATTCCATCACTGCTATGATCCTGATCTACAACCACTGAAAAAAAAAAAAATCACTGGCATGTATATGATTCTTTAGCCATTCAATAACTTCTTTTCTTAATAACATTTTTTATAGTTAGCCAATCCTTAGTAATTTGACAGTGTGATAGCTGGGTAAAATCTGAGATACTTACATATTGACCAGGGGTGTCTGATCTTTCAGGATTAGTAGAACCTCACATATAATGAATTGGGTTTTTCCAGTAACCTCTCACTGTACTAGACTGGTTTGTCTGGATGGGAAACCAATGGCTGGAATAATTAAGAGGGACTGTGTTTGGCTTTTCGGTAGTCAGTGTGGTGCTACAGAAGCTCTTTTGATAGGGATTTGGTGAATCTAATTAAAAGGATAAACCACTACACTTTTGGTTAATGTCTACCCTGTCTCTTGCAGTCTGCCCCAAGTGTGGCATTCTCAGTGTGGTACATCCCAGGCACATTGATGTTGTGACATCAAAGGATTTCTAGGAGCTTCATTATCTGGGTTCTGCTCTTATCTTTGCTGTAGATTTGCAGCGCAAACTTGAAGTCATTTGAGTCCTTTGGCTCACTTCACCATTCTGTTAAATGGGAAGAATAGCTACTTCTGACAGTGGAGTTGGAAGAACCCATTATTTGCAAGTTGATTTGTAATTAAAGGCATTTCAATTGCAAGCTACAATGTAGAAATGCTAGTACCCTGCTTCTAATTCTGGAAGAGATTCAAGTTCCTGTCTTATGAGCAATTTCATTATAGTAATTTACCTTATTCTTTGCCTCCATCTTGTTCCTGAGCTTCATTAACTCCATGCATAGACTGCTCATTTTTTTCTGTGTGCCATCTTCAGAAAACTTAAAGAACCAGAAAGTTTAACACAGAATTAGCCCTATACTGAAGAGCAATTCACATATTCATTTAATAAGGGCCTTCCCTGACACTTAATCTCCCCCCCACTTAATCCTGCCTCCAAAAGAAGATATCTGCATTTCTTACCAGACTTAAGGGAAGCACTTGTAAATTGACTTTGCTTAAATTGCAAAGTGCACAAGCCAAGGCAAATGTACATTGAAAAAGCATATTTGTGGCTTTAGACTCTTAAATTATAAAGTTTTACAGCAGGGGTTGGTAATCTTTGAGAAGTAGCATTCATTAATTTAAGGTTTTGCGTGCCAGTAATAATTTTTTACAGGGGCCTCCTGACAGAACCCCAGACTGGCAGCGGGCTGAGTGGGGTCCCAGACTGGCAGCGTGGGTGCCAGATGGAACCCCAGACCGGCAGCAGGCTGAGCAGCTCAGACTGCTGCCAGTCTGGTGTTCCATCTGGCGCCTGTGCTGTTGGTCTGGGGTCCTGGCTGCTGGCCCCGCTCAGCCTGCTGCAGGCCTGGATGGCCAGGACCCCAGATTGGCAATGCATTGAGCCGCTCAGCCCGCTGCCAGTCTGGGGTTCCATCTGCCAGCTGGGGTCTGGCCGCTGGCCCCACTCAGCCTGTTGCCGGCCCAGGGTTCCGTCCATCCAGGCCGGCAGCGGCCAGGACCCAGGCTGGCAGCAGAGTGCCACTAAAAATCAGCTTGCGTGCTGCCTTTGGCGCACATGCTGCAGGTTGCTGACTCTGTTCTACAGTATCCACTACTGAAGTGTTGCAATGTAGCATAAGAGAAGTGTTGTAAAAGTTTCACTCTATTTAACTGAATCAGAGTTATGAATTTAACACAGTATAATAGGTCCCATTGCTGGTGAGGGCAGGAACCTGAAGGGTTGAAGTTAGAGCCCTAGAAACTTACTATACCCAAAATGTTTCTACACAAGCCACTAATAATTTCCACTGAAAGTTTACCATTTGCTTATGCATAAATTCTAGTTGCACCTTAGAATCAACAGCAGAATTGAACTTGTTACCTGTCAAGTCTAACCAGTTTGATCAAAAGAACTCAGCCACACAAGTACACACTTAATATGGGACTTTAGTCGGAGGGTAGGATATGCCTCAGTTGCTTATGTCAAGGTAATTAAAGCTAGTAGGTAAAATCCTGGCCCTACTGAAGTCAGTGGCAAAGTTTCCATAGACTTCAATGGGGACAGAATTTCACCCATTATCTTTAACCTTCTTCCACCTATGAACTCTTTGTCAGTGTCCTCCAAAGCAACAAACAATCACAAAAAAAAAAAAAAAAAAAAAAAAAAACTTTCCTTGCACAGCATCTTGGTTGCTAGTTTAGCAGGAAATTTACCTTTCCTCTCTTATGCACTACATTGGTACAACTCACACAGGCACAAGATGAGAGGACATTTTGCAGACAGTAACACCAAGCGTCCCTGTCTACCCAGCAGTATTACTTCAACTTTGTTATAACATAATTTGTTCCACATTACAGTGAGAAAGTGTGAAAGACAACAGTGCAACTAAAGTTTAAATTGCCATATAAATTTACAAATACAGCCTAGTACTCCATTCACACAAGCCTGAGCATTAGCCCTACTGGTCAACCTACCAACCCCAATCTAACGGATTAGGTCCAGTCTTTTTTCTTAATTGTACCCAAAAAACCCCCCAAAACATTAACTTTGTTGCTTGTGAACAAGCTTGCAGATGTTACCTGCACAGAAAATGACAAAAACCATAGCAAGTCTCTGCTAACTTGATTAAGCGGATCCAATTCCAGACAAATACCTTTGATTTTAGAAATTCATTAGTTCTTGTTAATTCAAGAAGCTGTTTTTCCAAGGAAGCAACATTTGCTGAGAGAGAGGTTTTCTCCCTGACTGCTGCAGTTAGTTTTGCTTCAGACTTCATGAAATCCTCCTCTAGAGCCTGGAGTCTTTTATCTTGCTCTCCACGTTCTCTCACTAATGCACGAATCTAGAGGAAACATGTTGTTTGAATATTTATTACACTTCTCCAATTTCTAAAAAAAAAAAAAAAACAAACACCCCACAAACATACAGCCATCCCCCGCCAAGTTCGGTTTGAGTGATGCTCATTGTTCTCCTGTGAAGACAGATTATCCTTAGTTATAAACAACTTTCAACTGTTGGAAAGGACACGTGAGTTACTACAGAAAATCTTTACCTGCCATTAAGTTTAGTGGATTTTGTATCCTTAGCATATCATCTGGCTATTTTACCCTACTCAGTTTATTTCAACTGGGGTGCAAGTCAGTAATGTCATGTCTTCTCTAATTTGCCGTGTGGGCAAAGCTGGCCCTCTGGACTGAGGGGTGGAAAGACACTTATGACAACATCACACCCTTAACATCAGAGCGATTTTTACATGAAGCCAAAATATAGTTTTGGTGGTGAAAGGGAGAAGTTTAACATCCCCAAACTTGAAGTTTGTATCTTAATTCCAAAGCTACAACTTCAGCAGGTGATTATTACGTAGAACAATACCCCACCATTTGACTAGGAAAAAAAAAAATCAGTATCTAAAAGCAGGATTCAGTTTTCTCATATTCATTCTGAGATATTTTCCCCAGAGTTTATTGCCAGCCTAGAAGATTCAGGTGACTGCATTAATGGAATGAGCATGTTATAAGAACCTATACAGAATAGGCAACACTTAAATCAAAATGTCCTAGTTTTATATACTGACAAGTTAGGACATGGTTATTTTGATAAAATTTTGCTTTGGTCATTATACAGAGCTATTCATAAGATTCTTTGACATGTCAGGTTACATATTTTGTAAGGAATTAAAATTACTAGCTAACATGTGAAGCCAATAGTGGTCACATTATTTAAAAAAATCCAAAAAGACATCTGTTCATACCTCTTTCTCAAGCATCTTTTGTTTTTTCAGTTCTTTCATGATGGTTGTATCCTTTAGATAGGAAAAAAAATCATGTAAGGGTTACACATTTTCATACCTAAGAGCACAAAAACTAAGTACTAACAGGTATTCAGTTAAAGCTGGTTATTCCATTGCAGGGTTTCTTGAAAATTACAGATTAAAATAAACTGCCACTATGAGATGCATGATATTGGGCTATTTGAACTTATGTAAATCAATATAAAATTCCTTATGATCATCATACAATACTGAAAACATGACATTGAAGTTGTGTTAGCAAGACTTCCTAATACTTCACAAGCACTTCATTTACTAGCCCATGGTTTTGTTTTAAACAAAACCCCCCCGCAACCCTGCATTGAATCCCCTCCTCCCTCAAAACTACAATATATTTAAATTGACTTTCACACACACTAAGTGGTTCTACCCCTACTGTTCACAGGACATCACTGAGGGAGTCTCTCCCTACCCAAACATCCTTGGCATTTGGGACCCTCAACCTCTTATGTCCCCATATCTGAGCTTTCTGCTTTTCACTTTATTCTATGGGGAAGGCAGCAGAGGCTCAATAGCTACTGAGTTCCTTACTCCTCTCTCTCCACACTCTAAACAGAAAGAGTAGCACTTGAACGGTCTATTCCCTACCTCTCCCTTCTCAGGAAAAAGCTGTCACCTCTCCAGTCACAGGCAGAGTTTCTATTGATCCTGAGCAAGTGGATTATTCCAGGTCTGCCTAAGTTACATTCCATTTAAAAGGGAAAAAAGGGACTTCCTTCTTAGTCCCTATAGGACCTGAGCACAAGAATGGGCCTTGAAATAAACCCAATTGTCCTACTGAATGGTTCAAAATTTAGAGAATGCATTGTTTTAAATACCCGAGTTCAGAGTAGACTAAATTATAGGTTTGCTCAAAATTAACAGCATGGATATAGCTATACCAGAGACAGAAGAGTCTTACTGTTGATCCCAGAGATTTAAGTCTTCTTGCAGTTCGGGGCAAGCAGTCATTCGTTTCACTATTCAAATTTGGTTGACTTTCCATTTCCCCTGTGGAGACAAAATTTCACCATACTAATGGGTCAAGATTGACTAACTGTTTTTGTGGAAAGACTACATTTAATAGAGTCTTTGATCTTTGTTAGAATGCCAACCTCAAATCCCAAGGTTTGATAAAAAACCCAACAAACACTATCTTCTATGCCTGGCACCGTACAAGAGTTAGATGGACACCATCAATTCATAGTCTATTCAGTTTCCATTGAACTTACCACCGGTCCTGAGACATACACTCAGGAAGTGAAATATTGCCACTTTATAGGTTATGGTATCTCCTCAATTGCAGTGTGAAGGAGAAACCGACTACGTAGGGAGGTGGATGGAATGCATGAAGTAAATGGGGAAGAAAAAAAAAAAAAGAGTCCCTAATGTTTCAATGAAAATAATGCAGTATTACTGGGAGGAGGGAAATTCAGATAAGCATACTTTTCAAATTGCTGGCAGCCTTTTAAAATAGAAGCAGGTAGTCAATGAACCAATGTGAAGCAGAAGCAAAAGCAAAGCACAGACCATAATCTCAAGCACTGAGAAAGCAAACTGAAGCAGCAGCATATCAGCACCAAAGCTATGTTTACACTACAGTGGCAAAAGGGCTACAGCTGTGCTGATGGAAGAAGTTTTTCCCCGTGTATGTAGTTAATCTACCTCTTGAAGAAGTAGAAGCTAGGTCAACAGAAGACTTCTTTTGGGTCTACACAGGGTTAGGCTGACCTTACTATGATGCTTAGGATGCAACATTTTTCCAGCAGCCCTGAACAATGTAACTAGGTTGATCTATTTTTTAAGTATAGACTAGGTGATAGTTTCAGCACTGCAAGTTCTTTTAAACTTTTTAAATTTGTAGGACTACTTACCTTTCTGCTTTCTCAACTGTTGAGATTTCTGCTTTCTAAAGCGTTGGGATTTGTCAAAGGACACAGGTCCCTTCAATGCCTCTGAAGATTTGAGCTCATAGAACCCTGGTGATGGGGCATAAGCTAGAAATGAGGGAATGAGATGTTCAGCACAGGAGATTACACTAGTTATGAAAATCTGGAAGAAGACAGTTATATTTATGGATTGATTGCCATCAAGCAGTTCAGACCTATATTTCATCTCCCAGTTTTTAATCTGCACAAGAGATATACAAATAAGAGAGCAGAAGATGGACGTCATTTGTCCAAGTAAACTCTACTGCTGATATGATCTGCAGTAGAGTTATGTCCATAGCAAAGCATTCTTACCTGTTTGTGCATGGACCACCACCATAAACTAGATTTGTGGTGTGTTCTCAATACCGCAGAAAGATTTAAAAATTAGTTCATTAAAGTCTATTCAAGTAGTTATTGGAAACACATGAGCAATTAGAAGGCAATCTTGTTCCTTTAAGACTGGATCAACATTTCAGCACTTTTATTGGCACAAACTTTTAAAAGGTAGTCCTTCCACTTTAAAAGGGAGGCTCATTTTGAACTCCACCATTTTTCACTTCCTAACACTAGAAGATGCTGCCAAGTGTGTAATTTTAAAAAAAACTGCTTCCAAAAAAGTGTCTTTGAAGAGAAACAGGAAAGATAGGAGAACACACTGGCATGGATTCATCATTGCTCTTACACTTACCTGACCTCAGTGATCTTCGGGTATGACAAGCTAATTTAAGCATATCTGTCAACTTGTTTCAGTTTCCAAGACAGATTTACTGGCACAGAGGTCAGGGATTGAATGGATATGAATTACCACCCTCTGATCTCTCCAAATATATGTTGGTGGGACTGCATACAGCTGCAGTCACTGATAAATATCTATTGTGAAAGGAAGTTCTTAGTGAATGTCTTAAAGCTCTGTATTAAACTCACAGGTTAGGATTTTGTGGGGATAATCTTTGCTTTTTCATATCTTGTATTAAGGCTTTAAAAAAAACCCCAAAACAACAACAACAACAAAAAAACAAAACCACATCTAACTTGGTGCCCTTTTATTAGTGAGTGGCCTGTATCTGTAGTCCCATTTCAAGAAGAAATTAGATTCCACTCTAAAAGGAGGATTGGACAGTTACAGTGACCTTTGGTTGACTGGAAAAAGTGTAGTCAGTAATATTCAGTGCTAATGACACATTACTGCAAGTGCCTCTGCTTCATGACAAGCACTAAGAAGCCAAAAAGTAGAGATGGAAGAACTGCTGTCCTTGGACGGCCATGATCTACAAAACAAGTTCTTAAATTATTTCCATAGTTTAGACCACCTCCTCTCCCACATGTTATAACATTTGTGGCAAATGTAACAGCTGCCTACAGGAGATGGAAGGGCATTTTAGCAACTTTTTTTTTTTTTTTAAAAAGCCACCACCATGTGACTTGCCAGCTGATTCAAGGAACATAGTCTGGGAACCACACATATACATTAAGTACACATGGAGTATCTTGATATTGAAAAAAGAATGCAATGGAATTGGTGGAAAAATCAGAATGGTTTTCACAAGACACTTGTGCCACTGTAGAACTCTAGGAATCCTACCCACAAGGCTAGTTGTACCAGCCCATTAGAGGAATACTCAGGTTATTTATGTCCTAAAGTTTAGGATTTATTAGTCTGTTTCATAGAAATTAAGGCCAGAAAGGACCACAGATCATCTGCCTAACCTCTTGTTTATCTCAAGACATAACATTTCATATACCCCTGTATTGAGACTAATGACTTTAGACCAAAGCAATTTAGTCCTCAGGAGATGAAACAGTTGTGTGCCAGAGGAAGAGAACGAGAGAGAGATACCACCAATGCCTGGAAATTGATTAGGTGAGACATGCCCAGATGATCCTAGCTACCAAACCATGCCCCAAAGTGCAGAGGAAAACCTCCAGACCAAAATATTCCTGTCTTTTTTAACTGATCTCCTGATCAGTTAGACCCTGAGCATATGACCAAAACATACCAGCCAGGCATCTAAGAACTAATTCTTTGCACTGTCTCGGAGTACCAGTTCACTCTGGCCACAGATAGTGACAGGACACCAGACAAATTGATGGCTTCGGGGGGGAAGGGGGAGGGAGAAGAGAATGGGAAGAAGAGCAGCTGTGCCAGTTATACAGTAGGGAAAAATTCTCTCCAGATCCCCGCAGGCAACTAGCCGAAGTAGGAGAGTTGATTAGTAGAGCCGCAAGGGAGGAAATCCTGTTCTCTCCTTGAAGTGGATGAAAAGTGGGATTTGTAGATTCAGATTTCAAGGCCAAGAAGGGACCACTAAGACCTCCCCAGCATACAGACAATAGAATTTATCCAAGCAACTGGATTAAAGCATATATTTTTAGAAAGATCTCAAACAAAGCTCAATAGAAGAAGCATAATCTTCTCAGGTTTCAGAGTAGCAGCTGTGTTAGTCTGTATCTGCAAAAAGAACAGGAGTACTTGTGGCACCTTAGAGACTAACAAATTGATTTGAGCATAAAGCTTTCGTGAGCGACAGCTCACTTTGTCCGATGAAGTGAAATGTAGCTCACGAAAGCTTATGCTCAAATACATTTGTTAGTCTCTAAGGTGCCACAAGTACTCCTGTTCTTTTTGCAGATATTTACAGTGTAACTACAGGAGTCCTTGTCAAGTACGCTTGTGACATACCCACATGCTACACTGAGTTCCCTATACAAGGCATAAATAGGGCCATTTACATTCCAGTGAAGACAACAGAGCAGCCTTAGGAAGAAGTTGCGCAGTTAGGCCAAGTCCTAATGCATGCAATTTCATGGCTCACAGTCCAGAAGATGTGGATAAGGAGATGCACCTTAATCCATAAGCACAACCTTGCTGCCTTACTGAAATAAATCTGCTGTATTAGTGGTCACAAAAATCCAAGGATAGCATTGTTGACCTGAGACCCCTTCAAGCAGACGTTTTAGCGTCGCAGGCAGCCAGAACAAGGGCTGTAGGCCCAGGACAGCTGCCCCCCTGGATGCTAGCACTCAGGGGGCTTAGCACCCCATTTCCTCCGGCGCTACACCAACGCCGGCCTTCAGGGGTTGATTGGGTAGTTAATCAAGGCACAAAGGCCCGCAAGCCTGGGAGCCTACCAGCACCTCAGGGATGAGAGAAACCTTAACTCAGCATCACTCAGCCCGCCGGAGCAGGGGGAGGCCTCAGGGACACCATCAAGCCCAGCCACCCCACCCCCCAATCGCCTCCCCTGCGAGGCCACAGAGCACCCTTAACCCTCCTACTCGGGCTGGTGCACCCTCCCCAGAAGGGCCACTGGACGCCCCAGCTACCCGGGGCTAGCGACTGCACACCGCACTGCCAGGTCCGCCCTCAAGCTGCCCAGGGCGCCACCAGGCCCGGAGCGCAGGCCCCACGCACGCTCACCAGCGGCCTCGTTAAAGCGCTTGAGAGGAGCCTTAAGGAAGGCCATGGCTGCACACGCCGCTACAGCCACTCACGCTCCCAGAGACCACTCTCCACTTCAGATTCAAACTGCCAACCGCCTTCTTAACTCGCCCCCGACAGCCAATCACAGAACAGCCTGCAAGCCTGTAGAGACAGCCAGCCAGTCACAGCCTCTGCCTGGAGCATGCGCACCGGATCCCACGGGAAACCAGTGATGTCGGCTCGCGAGCGGAAAAGTGCGCAAAACCTGCTTGGCCCGCGACGGCGCATGCGTGTCGCCCTGTTTTCGGAGAGGACGGGAAAAGCGCGCAGTTAGTTGAGCGCGGTGGGGCTCGTGAGTCCAATGTCGGGCTCCTTTGAGGAGCGGAGCGGGGTGGTGTCGTGCGCGACTCCATGGGGCTGCTGGTACCAGACCCTGGAGGAGGTGTTCATCGAGGTGCAGGTCCCGCCGGGCACCCGGGCTAAGGACATCCAGTGCAGCCTGCAGAGCCGGCACCTGGCGCTGGCCGTGCGCGGGCAGGAGGTGCTCAAGGTAGCGCTGGGAAGGGGGAGGCTGGCCGACTAGGCTGCCAGTGGGGCAGGGCCTGGCCTGGGCCGCAGAGCTGCGGGGAGGCCCCAGCAGTTGTTGCAGGCAGTCAAGAGCGGCGGGGTGCGCTTGCTGCGGCGCTGGTTCGCTGACACGCGGTCCTTGCTGCACTGGGGAACGTGTAACCTCTTCGTGCCCTTGCTCGCACTGCTGGGGAGCCTTGCGGGAGACGCTGCTTCCAGCACCGTGGTATGAGACTGGGGGGCTATGTGTCGTTGACATGGCCCTCTGAGTAGTATCTCTTTTGGCTATAGGGAGTCTAGTGGCTGGGATGCAGCTCGCGCAGGGAGCTCTGAACATTTTCGACCCGTGTCAGCAAAGAGTTTGGAATTCAGATTTAAAAAATTATGTTTGTTGTAAAATCCAGTGGAAACCTGCGAAAGGCCATACACAAGGTAAATGGGAGTAGGCTGTTTAACGCTGAGAATACTAGACTGATAAGGTGGGTCAGGCAATATATAGAAAGCTTTGGAGTTTGCACAGCTCTTCTGGTCTAGGCTGGTCTAAACTCCCAAGTTTGTCTTTTCATCAGCAGAAGTTGGTCCCTTTAAAATATATTACCTCACCCTCCTTGTTTCTCTAATATTGTGGGACTGACAGGGCCACAGCAACACTGTAAACAATTCAGAATATTGTCTCATTTCTCAATCCTTGAGGTTGATTATTTTCCATTTAGGAGAGAGACAGTTAAGTAACTTTATGCCCAGGGTCTTAATTTTTTTCTTTTTTATGAAACCTGCTAGTACACCTTTCTTGTTTGGTTTTGCAGTTTCTAAAAAAACCCCAAAACAGTTAAAACAGTTTTGAGGGAATTAAAATACTTCCTTGCAATGCTTGAAATGCAAACTGTAGTATTCTACTAGTACATGAGAACCTAAGTGAAACTGAGTAGAAATACAAGCATAGGGGTCCACTCATTCACTCCTCAAATTAGCATAATTGATTTCATTTGATTTAAGCATTTGAAGATGGAGATCTTGCATTTCCCCTTCAGTACAAAGTGCTGTACGAATAAATAATAAAAATAGTGTATTGGTAACATAAGTAATGACTTCTACAAAATTTATAAGGAGTCCGGTGGCACCTTAAAGACTAACAGATTTATTTGGGCATAAGCTTTTGTGGATAAAAAAACACTTCTTAAAGCTTATGCCCAAATAAATCTGTTAGTCTTTAAGGTGCCACCGGACTCCTTGTTGTTTTTGTGGATACAGACTAACATGGCTACCCCCTGATACTTTATAAAATTTGTATTTGTCTTGGCACTGTCCCTTAAATATTTTTAAGTTACTGTATCTACTTACAAACAGTACATTACAAAGTTTGTCTTCAAGGTATTTCATTAGCAAACAGTAAAACACATTTAATGATGATGCATTGTAGAATATCCATGGGAATGAAAGAATCAACTTTCTAATTTAAAAAAAATTAGAAATGAGAAATTTTTCAAAGTTGTTGCAGTGTAAATTCTATGGTATATGTCTAAAAGTTTTTGTTTCAGTAGTTGTTAAGAGAGACTGTACACTTTAGGATTTATCTTAGTACTTCAAAACATTCTGACTTTCTTTCCTTTCTCATTGGAAAGCCCATTTGCTTTCTCATTGGCGCTGGTAATTAGCAATTCTTTGCATCATTATAATTTATTTATATTGTGCCATAGGTGTGCATGGCACTTTACAGACATACTGGAACCTTGATGGGAAGTCACATTAAAATGGGAAATCCCCCCCCACCTCCCCAAGACAGTCCCTTTCATTGAGATACTGAAACAGTGACAGGTATTTTTATTGTATTAAGCAATTATTTTCATAATTAATTTTACTTTCTTATGTATAATAACTTTTCAGTGCCAGGTTGTTCCTTTTTAAACTGTAGGAAGTTTTCAAACTTCTGTATAAACTGGGAGTAATCCGATGAAGTGAGCTGTAGCTCACGAAAGCTTATGCTCAAATAAATTGGTTAGTCTCTAAGGTGCCACAAGTACTCCTTTTCTTTTTGCTAATATCAATCAGATACTGATAAACTACTTAACCTTGTAAATGTCTTTTTCAGGGTAGACTCTTTGACTGCACAATAGCTGATGAAGGGACATGGACGTTAGGTAACTATCTGCTTCTTTTAAATGAAATTTTGAAAGACAGTTAAATTTCTGTGTGTTCAAATCTTTCTCGACATTAGAGTTTATTTCTTTTTAAGAACCAGAGTGTACTATAATTGAAGAAAGCAGATCATGACACAAACATACAGTTCTTGGATCACAATACAAAAACAGCCTAATGACGTCTTTGTTTTTTTAGTGAGAATCATAGAAATTAGAGATGAAAGGAAAATATTAAGTCATCTAGTCCATTTCCTACCAATGCAGGATTGTTCCCATTAGTATACTTTGGAGTGCTGGTTCCATTCATCTAGTTATAAATGTCATGAGCAATCAAACCTCATTGAGAGACTGCTGTCCAGGTTTTTTTCCCCCTTGACGTTCAGCCTAAATTTTCCTTTTCTTAATTTCATCCCATTACTTTTTATATCTCAGTATGCTGTCCAAAGTCATTCCTTGCCCTCTTTAGTGTTGACCATTTTGAAAGTTGTTACCATGACCTCAGCTTCATTGTTTTCCCTTAGCCAAGATACACATACAGTAACTCCTCACTTAACATTGTAGTTATGTTCCTGAAAAATGTGATATTTAAGGAAATCCAATTTCCCTGTAAGAATTAACGTAAATAGTGGGGGGGAGAGGGGTAGGTTCCAGGGACATTCTTTTTATCAGATACAAGACATTCTATATACATACAGTATACATTTTAAACCATTTTAAACATGCAATTTAATATTATACTCAGAATTGATGACTGTGAAGCTCGGTTGAGGTGGTCGAGTAAGAGGGTGGATCGTCTGGCTGCTCCTCTTGCTGTTCTTGCTGAACAACTAAAAAAAAAAAACACGTTTAGAGATTGTTTTGCTTTCCTTTCCCCCCACTGCTTTTGGTAAATTTCTTTATAGCAAGTCATTACAAGACCAACTCCCCTAAGCACTTTGGAGCTGCGTTCCTGTCAGGATCGTCATCACTAAGGATTTGCAAGCCAGCTTCAATAATTTGGAAAGCTTCAGAAGGATGTTTGGCAGTCAAATTTTGATGGATTGGTGTTTCTTTTACTTGGCCCTCTTCCATTGCTCTCATCACTTCTAGTTGCATCAGATCTTCATTGGTTAGCTCTTCTCCGTGTGATTGCAGAAGTTGTGTAACATTGGCTTCTTCCACCTCATCAAAACCTGCTTTTCTTTGCCAAGCCGAGGATATCTTTCTTCACAGCGAGGACAACATCTTTAAATTATTTTAAGTCATTGACACTTTCAGGCCACAACTTTCCCCACATACCATTCATGCATGCCTGAGTAACTTCAGCCCAGGACTCACCAATGTTATTGATGCACTTCAGGATGTTGTAGTCATGCCAAAATTGCTGAATCGTAGGTTTGCCTCTGATGAGCTGGTCGAAAGTACAGCGTAAGTAATACGCTTTAAATGCACCGATGGCTCCTTGGTCCATGAGTTGGATGCGTGATGTGGTGTGAGGTGGCAGAAAGTCAACTTTGACGTTTTCGCACAGGTCGTCCAGGTTGATTGGATGAGCCGGTGCATTATCAATAAGCAATAAAATCTTGAAATCAAGATTTTCCTTGGCACAGTATTCCTTCCATGCAGGGACAGCATAGAGAGTCAGTCATTCTGGAAAAAATAGCTCCAGATCTTCAAATGACTGGAAGGTGTTTTTTTGAAAATCCCTTGAGAGCTTGTGGTGTTTCCAATTGGTATACTGTCAGAGGTTTCATCTTCATGTCTCTGGCAGCATTACCACCTAGAAGCAAGGTTAGGCGGTCTTTAGCTACTTCAAATCTGGGCGCTCTCTTTTTCTCTCGGGAAATGTAAGTCCGCTTAGACATCATCTTCCAGTAGAGGCCCGTTTCATTGGCACTGAAGACATGCTTAGGGGAATAGTCACCTTACTCAATTATTTTCTTGAGATAGTCAGGGAATTTTTTAGCTGCTGCCGTATTGGCACTAGCCACCTCACCGGACATCTTGATGTTATGCAGGTGGAAGCGCCTCTTGAACTGATCAAACCATCCCCACCTTGCGGTGAACATCTCTGTCTGTGATCCTTCACCTTGGTCTCTCTTCAGATTGTCATACAAGCTAAGGCAAAAAGTTTGTATCACTCGCAAATTTAGTTTTGGTCCTCTATCTCCACTGAAAGAAGATGCGCCATGTTTTCCAGCAAACTACTTCTTGATTGACTTATTGTAGGAGCACTAAGCAGTGTTACACACCGAGCACTAGCCCTGCTCTTGTTGGCTTTACTCTGAATTGTTCTCACAGTCGTCGGGGTAAGACCTAGAGTGATGCCAGCGTCTACCGCACGTTCACCTGCATCAAAATACCTTAAAATGTCTAATTTAGTACCCAAACTAATGGTTTCCTGGTTTTCTTACTGCTCGTGGTACTGCTAGGCGCTTGACTATCACTTGCTGGACATTTTTGACTCATGATGCTGGGTGATACTCCTCTGGACGGCGCATGCATGTACTACTCTTCACTCCCTTCAGCCTTGAGTGGTTGGGGTCATGCAGCATCAATCAACTATTGAAAGGGAAAGAACTTGGAAAACCCATGCCATTCTCTATGGTAATCTGCTCCCCTATTGGAAGCCCTGTGGGTTTAGGCTAGGACTAGTTATGGAGTCAGTTTCGCTTGCAGGTTCTTACTTTCACAGGAGCCCTGCTGGAGGACCAAAGGCCTGTCTTCCAGGGTGCCCTAGAAAAACTGGCCCTGCTGTACCTCCCATAGTAACCACACACTCAGCACTGAGGCAGCACTGCAGCCAATGTAGCTGTGACTGTTGTCAGAGGAGGAAAATAAGATTTGCTGCAGGGCTGCACTCCTCCCTGCTGTGTGCATGCAGGGGCAGAGAGATAAAGCTGGCATTGAAATGAATGGCAAAGCGATGATGAATCGGGGGGTAGCCTGCACCTGAAGTGTGTTTACAAACATACAGTAGTTGGGAGGTGCCCCTGCCTTACCCCACACAGGCACAGCCCGCTGCAGACAATAAGGCGGGCAAGGAGGCTGAAGGTGGCTGAGTAGACTCCTAAGTAGGCTGAAGGAGGCTGAGTAGCAGCAGCGGCAGATTCCCCCATTGAGACTCAGGTACAAGCACAGCTGCCAACTTTGCTGGGGGGTGCTCTGCCCGAGGCCTGCCCCCACTCCACCCCTTCCCCCAAGGCCCCACCCCACCTCTTCCTGCTCCATGCCCTCCCCTGAGCATGCTGCATCCTCACTCCTCCCCGCCCTCCAGCCTCCTGAACACTGCAAAACAGCTGATTGCAGTGGGCAAGAGGCACAGGGAGGGAGGAAGGAGGGTGAGGTGGGGGGGGTGCAGGGGAGCTGATAGGGGGGTTGCTGACCCACCCTGGTTCCAAGCCCCCACGAGGACGGGCTGCTCTTCCAGAGAATCCTGCAAGGTGTGGACAAAGCAGGCGGCCAAATTGCACAACATTAAATGAGCATGTTCTCTAATAGAACAGTGCTGTAACAACAAAACCGATAGGACCTTAAGTGAGGAGTTACTGTATTAATATTATTAATCTTTCCTCATCAGTCAGTCCCTCTAGAAAGGTTCCACTTAGTTTGGAGGGAGGAAATATGTATGTACCATGTTTTAAATATATGAATAAAGGGATCTTTTTTCCCTTAAAGTTTTCTTGTTACACATTGGTCTGGACTTCTGAGTTTGTCTTCATTTTCAGCGAATGAAATATCTTTTTGCATAGGCTTTAAGAAGAAGTTTCACCAGAAAATTCACTGAATTATTAATGTTGAATTTGGCTGAAAAAGAGTATAGCACTTAAGAAGTCCAATGGTTATTTCTGTTTTTCTTATGAAGAGGACAGAAAATTGATACGTATTGTTCTAATGAAAACCAATCGAGATGCTGGAAATTGTTGGACCTCTCTGTTAGAAAATGACTATGCTGCTGATCCTTGGGTACAGGACCAGATGCAGAGGAAACTTACACTGGAGAGATTCCAAAGAGAGGCAAGTCAGAGGACACCAATTACTGTTTGTGTCTTATTTATACATATTCTGCTCAGGTTATGGCCATGAAACGGAAAAATTCTTTTACATTCATCAGAAATACACAAAGTTAACCCATTTTTACTATTTTATTTTAACGCATTCTGGTTGATTTGTCACTCAGTGGGTTGAATCTTCATTAGGATACTGAACTTTGCCTACAGGATGCCATTCGGTACTTTGAGAGAACCTAAACCTCTTCTTTTAGAATTTAAAAAAGGCATTAGTTTTGGAAAGTAATGCATAGTTCATTCAGAATCTTGACATTTGACTTCAGTAAAAGTTGCAGGTACCCAACAGCAGGAGAATTGAGCCTTGAAAGAGGACCTGAATATGGCAGTCTCTCTCTGAATGATTACATATCTGTATTTAAAGTTTATTTTTCAAAATCAAGTCTCCTTCAGTACGTTTATACAGAACGTACAGTCAAAACTTCGTTTGGAAGACAAAGGAGAGTAAACTCACTGGGCAAATAATTCCTCCTTTATTTTGAATAGATTTCATGCTAAACTTGTTTCCCAGTGCTGTGACTACTACTTCTAGCACTTCACCATCTTTGTGTACTAGCATTAGTAATTCAGCAGAGCTCTGGGAATAATGCTTATTAGCTAGCAAGTGCTGAATCAGCACAATTTTTTGTTTAACAAAAACCAGCAGCATTTTTATAAAAACTAGCTGTCCAGTACTGCAGGAACTTCCCCTTTCAGATAACCATTTAAAGGGACACTGTAAAAGTCAACAGCTGTACTATTTAACCCCACTCCCTGAAACCATTTTAAAGATTTTCTTGATATGGAAAGCTTGCTGCCTCCCAAACTTGGGATGGCAACAGCCTGCAAACTCACTTCTGCAGCTGGGCAAGCCACCAATCTCCCTTTGTGTGTAATTGCTGATGCGTGTGTGCAAAAATTTTTCACTCTCCCTAGAGAATTTCAACTGTGCCAGTTCCCAGGAACACAAGAAGCAGAAGGTTGTGTGCTTTTTATCAGTTTGGGAGAGTGTTAACAAACTTTGATTTATACAGTGATATTTTGAGTATTAACCTTTATATGAATTTTTTTTATCTCTGTACAGAATCCTGGCTTTGACTTCAGTGGGGCAGAAATTTCTGGGAACTACAGCAAAGGGGGACCAGACTTTTCCAAACTTGAGAAATAAACTTCTTTCAGCAGTGTTCCAAAGAACCAGAGAGAAATAATATGTTAAACTGAAGGAGTGAAATATGTCTTTGCTAAAGACTTCACCTGTCTACAGAATGAATGTCATCAAATACTGTCTCTGTGGATAATTACAGGGGAATTCCTTTCAGTAGGATCAAGACAAACAGCAAAGTTATAGAGGGTCATTTTTAAATGTGTGCTAACCTCTTTGATATTAATAGAAAATATGCATACATGATAAATGTACTTTAAAGGTGTCATGACTGTTTTTAAGCAGTATTTTCTTTGTGGAAATATTCCACAGTGAAGTGACATAGAGGCACAGTTATAGAATGCTACATAAATGTCAGCACTCATCCTCTTGTGGAGAATTAATCCTACAGGCAAGCCACCTACCATTATCCTTAACTTTGAAAGAACTGTATTTTCTAAATTTTAAAAATGTACTTTTGTAGCTCTCACTTGGTTAGCAGCCCTCTGATGTGTGTTAGTAAATTCAGTTTTAAAACTGCAGTGGCAGAAACAAGAATATTACTCTTAAGTGCAGAAAATAAGGTTTGACATTTTAGTGTTGTGCCAAATGTTGCTGAAGGACAAACTGGCAGCAGAAAGTCAAAAGGTTTAGGTTGAAGCCTGGGCTCCAGTACTCGTAGGTCTACTTACAGTATAGTAACTTAATATTCTTAGTGGAAGGAGAAGAGGTTTTGATTTCTGAAAGGGTGGAATACTTTGCCTGTAGGATGCAATTTTGTGTACTTAGAACCCAAAACTCTTCTTTTAGCACAGGGGTGGGCAAACTTTTTGGCCTGAGGGCCACATCAGGGTTCCAAAATTATATGGAGGGTAGGGTAGGGAAGGCTGTGCCTCCCCAAACAGCCTGGCCCCCACCCCTTATCACCGCCTCCCACTTCCTGCCCCCCTCAGAACTCCTGACCCATCCAACCTCCTGCCCCCACTCCTTGTCCCCTGACTGCCCCCTCCTGGGACCCCCTGCCCCTAACTGCCCCCACACTCTCTGCCCCCTGACAGGCCCCCCAGGACTCCCATGCCTATCCAACCACCCCCTGTCCTCTGACTGCCCCTTATCTAACCTCCCTACCCCCTTACCATGCTGTTCAGAGCACCAGGACTGGCAGCTGTGCTGCCCGGCTGGAGCCAGCCATGCCACTGCGCAGTCTAGTGCCCCTGGGCAGGCCGGCGGCTTTTGCAGCCACACTACCTGGCAGGAGCTTGCAGCCTTGCCTCCCAGAGCACTGGCGGGATGGTGAGCTGAGGCTGCGGGGGCAGGGATGGACAGCAGGGGAGGGCCCGGGCGCTAGCCTTCCCAGCCAGGAGCTCAAGGGCCTCCCCAAACAGGCTGTAGTTTGCCCACCTCTGTTTTAGAATTTAAAGAACTGTTTCAACGTGAGAGCTACAATTTGATTTCAGTAAAAGTTGTAAGTACCCAACAGCAGGAGAATTGAGCCTTGAAAGAGGACCTGAATATGGCAGTCTCTCTCTGAATGATTACATATCTGTATTTAAAGTTTATTTTCCAAAATCAAGTCTCCTCAGTACGTTTATACAGAACATACAGTCAAAACTTTGTTTGGAAGACAAAGAAGAGTAAACTCACTGGGCAAATAATTCCTCCTTTATTTTGAATAGATTTCATGCTAAACTTGTTTCCCAGTACCATCTTTGTGTACTAGCATTAGTAATTCAGCAGAGCTGTGGGAATAGAGTTTATTAGCTAGCAAGTGCTGAATCAGCACAATTTTTTGTTTAACTCTTTGTTTTTAACTTTTGTTTTATTCTCTATCCCTTTTTCAATGATTCCTAACATCCTGTTTGCTTTTTTGACTGCCACTGTATGCTGTGTGGATGTCTTCAGAGACCTATCCACAGTGACTCCAAGATCTCTTTCCTGATTAGCTGTAGCTAAATTAGCCCCCATTATATTGTATGTATAGTTGGGGTTATTTTTTCCAATGTGCATTACTTTACATTTATCCACATTAAATTTCATTTGCCATTTTGTTGCCCAATCACTTACTTTTGTGAAATCTTTTTGAAGTTCTTCACAGTCTGCTTTGGTCTTAACTATGTTGAGCAGCTTAGTATCACCTGCAAACTTTGCCACTTCATTGTTTAACCCTTTCTCTAGATCATTTATGAGTAAACTGAATAGGATTGGTCCTAGGACTCACCCTTTGTCCCTGTCCTTTAAATAGTTCTCAATCCATGAAAGGATCTTCCCTCTTATTCCATGACTCCTTAATTTACTTAAGAGCCTTTGGTGAATGACCTTGTCAAAGGTCTTCTGGAAATCTGAGTACACTATGCCTACGTTTGTTGACCCCTTCAAAGAACTCTAATAGATTAGTAAGACATGATCTCCCTTTATAGAAACCATGTTGACTTTTGTGTAACAATTTATGTTCTGCTATGTGTCTGACAATTTTATTCTTTACTGTTGTTTCAATTAATTTGCCCGGTACTGACTTTAGACTTACCAGTCTAATTACCAGGATCACCACTAGAACCCTTTTTAAATATTGGTGTTACATTAGCTGTCTTCCAGCCATTGGATACAGAAGCTGATTTAAAAGGACAGGTTACAAACCATAGTTTACAGTTTTGCAATTTCACATTTGAGTTCTTTCAGAACTCTTGGGTGAATGCCAGCTGGTCCCAGTGACTTGTTACTGTTAAGTTTATCAATTAGTTCCAAAACCTCTAGTGACACTTCAGTCTGTGACAATTCCTCAGATTTGTCACCTACGAAAGATGGCTCAGGTTTGGGAATCTCCCTAATATCCTCAGCCATAAAGACCGAAGCAAAGAATTCATTTAGTTTCTCTGCAATGACTTTGTCTTTAAGTGCTCCTTTTGTATCTTGATCATCCAGGGGCCCCATTGGTTGTTTAGCAGACTTTCTGCTTCTGATGTACTTAAACATTTTATTACCTTTTGAGTTTTTTGGCTAGCTGTTTTCAAACTTTTTTGGCTTTTTTTACTGTATTTAATTTGGTAGTGTTTATGCTCCTTTCTATTTACCTCACTAGGATCTAGTCCAGTTGGCATCCGGTATCAAGTGGAGTGCCCCAAGGGTCGGTCCTTGGTCCGGTTTTGTTCAATATCTTCATTAATGGTCTGGAGGATGATCTGAACTGCCCCCTCAGCAAGTTTGCAGATGACACTAAACTGGGAGGAGAGGTAGATATGCTGGAGGGTAGGGATAGGATATAGAGGGACCTAGACAAATTAGAGGATTGGGCCAAAAGAAATCTGATGAGGTTCAACAAGGACAAGTGCAGAGTCCACTTAAGACAGAAGAACCCCATGCACTGCTACGGACCAGGGACCGAATGGGTCGGCAGCAGTTCTGCAGAAAAGGACCTAGGGGTCACAGTGGACGAGAAGCTGTTGTTGCCAAGAAGGTCAATGGTATTTTGGGTTGTATAAGTAGGGGCATTGCCAGCAGATCGAGGGATGTGATCGTTCCCCTCTACTTGACATTGGTGTGGCCTCATCTGGAGTACTGTGTCCAGTTTTGGGCCCTGCCCTACAAGAAGGATGTGGAAAAATTGGAAAATGTCCAGCAGAGGGCAACAAAAATGATTAGGGGACTGGAACACAACTTATGAGGAGAGGTTGAGGGAACTGGGACTGTTTAGTCTGCAGAAGAGAAGAATGAGGGGGGATTTGATAGCTGCTTTCAACTACCTGAAAGGGGGTCCCAAAGAGGATGGATCTAGACTGTTCTCAGTGGTAGCTGATGACAGAACAAGGAGTAATGGTCTCAAGTTGCAGTGGGGAAGGTTTAGGTTGGATATTAGGGAAAACTTTTTCACTAGGAGGGTGGTGAAACACTGGAATGCGTTACCTAGGGAGGTGGCGGAATCTCCTTCCTTAGAAGTTTTTAAGGTGAGGCTTGACAAAGCCCTGGCTGGGATGATTTATTTGGGAATTGGTCCTGCTTTGAGTTGGACTAGATGACCTCCCGTGATCCCTTCCAACCCTGATTTTCTATGATCTGACTTCCACTTTTTAAAAAATACCTTTTTATTTCTCACTGCTTCTTTTAGGTGGTTGTTGTCATTCAAAATTGGAGTCTCTCAGTAGATGGTACTTAAGGTTTGTTTTTGTAATTAAAACAATAAAGCACATAGGAACATGTAGCCTACTAGTAAATAGTGCAGTGTCAGTGCTGCAGCCACTATGGACTTAGCCTGACTTTTTCTAAAGTGTATGGTAATCCTATTTCAGCTAGGTCTCCTGCTTTGACATTTAAAGTCTAACTAGAAAGGGGAAATGAAAACCAACCCTATCATCATCTGTACATACAGTAAATCTTGCTAGGTTTGTGAGTCTTAAGTGTCACATGTAAAAAAATTTTCCTTAGTAAGTTGACAGCTGCTTTAAGATAAATGACAATGTGATCTCTACAATAACTCAAACTGTTGGTGCTAAGTTTACTTTAAAAACATTTGGAAGTTTAATTACTGTTCTGTGAACAGTAGTGAAGAAACTCTGATAGAGTTTTGTAACAGGTATTGGCAAGAGGATCAAAAGGACAATTATGCATACCTGCATTTCAATACATTTTATTGAAAGGTACATTCTTTAATGAATACTGAGACATTGTTACTTCTAAGAATGGCACAGTGCATCTTCAGCAGTTGCATTCAACGTGCATAGCATGTCCTATCCTTTGCTTACTTTTCACCAGTTAGCAGTGGTAATTACATACAGCATACCTATCTGCATGGTCAAGGCTGGTAACATTCATCTATAAGTTCATAGTAGAATTTTTTCCCCCTTAAGTTGTTCACTACTTAGCAGTAGTTTAAAGTGCTCTGTAGGAAGTTTGACTATGCTTTACTACATTAGAAGGAGGGTGTGGAATATCCCCCCCAAAATCAATGTTGGCCTTTGGAAAATAGATGTTTGTGTACCAGCCCCACATTTTATTTAATTATTCACAGTTCTTTTCTCCCACTGCCCAAATTAGTTAAGAGTGCATGCAGGAGTTCTTAATGATTGACCAATAAGAGGTTCCCATGCAATGTGATGTAAAGCATTCAGAGCTCACTACCTACATCCCAACTTGAGCCATTCATTTCATGAACTACAACACTGCAGCTTTACTTGCTCTTAGGCATCCCCTTTCTGAACATCTTTAGAGGGTACTACCTCATGTTTGACCTTCCTCTACTGATGAAGAGCTAGCATTGACACAAGGTTTAGGTCTTTCAGGGACAAACCAAGAATGAAGTAGCAGAGCCAATTCAGAACTCAAAATTAGAGGTATAGATACAGTTTCCTATTGGGCAACAAAAGCTGATGATCATCTTACATTATGGTGGTACTTGCACAATTTCTATTGAGGGCATGCAAACTGCACCTGTGTAATAATCAGAATTTGTCCCCTTGTCTGTAAGTGACCCTAGCGAAAAAGCTATTGTCAGGCTCCGACTTTAGACAGAAATAGCAAAGTAGCAGTTTTACGGACATTGCAAACTGATATAGGGTGCAGTTTGCTTGTTAAGCCATGCTTTCAATCTCCACCATTCAAAGTTCACAAAATTATACTTTTCACAAAATGAGGGTAGAAGGATGGCCAAGTTCAATAATGATGCAGAGTAACAACTGCAGGCTTTCCCAGCATTTCTCTGATTTGTATTTTATCATCTTAGCCAGAGTTGTTAACTCTGCACTGGAGGTGAAGTAAATGGACTGCACTGCATCAAAGGACCAATGCCTTGTGCAGGAGAACATGGCTACTCAAAACATGACAATACAAAACATTTGACTTAGGTAACTGCATCCCAGAGACTATTCAGTGCAGTATCAGGGAGATTTGTCTGAGACAATTTGGTAGCCTCAGCAGTCCTGAAGCACATTATACCTCCTATGTTCCACGTACAAGTTTTAGGAGGTGGAGAATCAAATTGCATGAAGTAATCCAACTAAACAGCCACAGTTGCAGTAAGCCAAAGTTAAACTACACTAGCTGTTCTATCAGTTAACTACCAAGTTGTCTGAGGCTATTCACTACTATAAAACAGCATGATACTTTACTGTTATACATATGTATATTTCATTCATCCTTCAGGAATTATTTACTACTTATTACTCCTGTAGTCAGCACCAATACAACTGCATTTGCTGGAAAGATCTATTAAAGAAACCTTCTGGATGTTTCAGTTTTCCAAGAGTTGAACTTCAGATGCTAGAACAGCTGCTATGTTTTAGGCTTCAGTTTTCAATTCTACAGCCGAATACTGTAAACCAGCCTTCAGGACAGTCATTTTTCCATTTTAAGATTCCTGTGCAGACAGTATAAGAGACATTAAGTTAACTAAACAGCTGTTTCTACAAATGGCTATGTGCTGTACAAATATAGTACAGTAAGACAATTTCTGCCCCTGAAAGTAGAAAGAGGATGGGGTAAGGGGGAAAAAGGATATTCTGGGGAAGAGACAGTTAATGGCTCCCCCCCCCCAAAAAAACAAAAACAAAACAAAAAAAACCACAGCAACTCAGCAATGAAAGTTAGGTGGGTAATAGGCTAAAACAATAACTAACTTGTGTCCCGCTTAGACTCCCCACCCCAGAAATTTCAGGCCTTTAAAGTTTGTTTCAGCAAGACGAGTTTACCATACATTGGTTAGATACTGGCAGTGTTCCAATAAAATGTTTTAAAACAACTTGTTTAATCAATGCACAGGACAAAGTTAGAGGCTAGTTTTGCCAGACAGTTTAAACATGGTTAAGCTTAATGTAGATACAATAGAACCTCAGAGTTATGACCTCAGGAATGGAGGTTGTTCGTAACTCTGAAGCGTTTAACTCTGAACAAAACGTTATGGTTGTCCTTTCAAAAGTTCACAACTGAACATTAACTTACAGCTTTGAAACTATATGTAGAAGAAAAATGCTGCTTTTAACTATCTTAAATTAAGTGAAACAAGCACAGAAAGTTTCCTTACCTAGTCAAATCTGTTTTTTTTAATACACTGCCTTGACTTATTTTTAGCAGTTTACATTTAACACAATTCTGTACTGTACAATATTTGATTTTCCCCCCAATCTCTGCTGCCTGACTGCATATTTTCAGGTCCAAATGAAGTGTGGGGTTGACCGGTCAGTTTGTAACTCTGGTGTTTGTAACTGAATTTCTAATGTAGAGCCTTTGGAAGTGTGAGGGGAACCAATGTCTTTACACATTAAATACCCGATCAACTGAAGTAGTATGTATTTTTGTTGGAAAATCATTGTTTGATATCAGCTTTGTAGACTTCTATGACGAGTATCTCAGAATCTGTATTGCATGGCCTGTATGCATGTTAGGAACATTGTCCTAGGACTTCAGGACAACCAGAAACTTGTTACAGGCAAGCCAATTTCAGTAACTTGGTGTCTGGAGGATGAGCTAACGAACCTTCACTTTAATTTTTGGTGCACTGATTGACACATTGGACCTGCTGCTCAAGTATAGACACTCTTCTTCCTTTCCTTTTAAGCATCAGAATGTGAAGCAGGTTAACAACCTGGCATCTGTGTCACATCCCACCACTTGCTCTACTCACCTAGCTGTGCTCCAGACTTCAGTGAGAGAGATTCAAGTGGCGGACACCAGAGTATGGGAAAGAACTGGTACTCTGCTTACAGGAGACATTAGGAGGGTTGCCAGTTTGTATTTTCAGACTCAGGCATTAGTGTTGATGCACCTAAAGGTCAGCAGAATGTGTCCAATTTAATCAAAACATTTCAAGTGGCCTGTCAATTCTTGAAGAGTTGCTTTGTTTGAGAACTAAGTTGAATATCTAGGCTGTGCCTAGGGGGCTGAAGAAGCCTCCAGTCTAGTAAGCATGAAGAAAGTTTTAGTGGTTTAAGGATTCCTGTTTGTGCACAAATCTAAGTTGAAAGCAGTGAAAGAAACTTACCTGTTACGAGCCAGTCTCTGGGATTGTGGGGAGGTGTGAGATTCTGTAGTAGCTATGCTTCAGCTGCCGTGCTGTACGTCCTGACACAATCCACTTCAGCTTCTGAACGTTTGGTTTTGAACACTTGCTTGATGAGTATTCTGCAAGGCACTTTAATACCAGCTCCTTCCAGAAAGTTAGGTCTCTGCTATTTGTCTGAATGAAGAAAGGTTGAAGCTAGAATTAGACACCCATTTCCCAGTTGTAATCCACCCCCACCACCTACAAGTGTGCTAAATTAAGAAAGGCCTTGTACCACATGCCAATTGGGGGAGGTATGAAGGGGACAAGCGTGGGCACCAATGGACTCCCAAAGGCCCTTAGTTCTTAAAAGGTTCCCCCAGCTTCCACTGAAGGAGCCTTGCTGCTCCCCCCACACTACCCCTGACCTGGAGACTAGTATCAGTGTACCCCAGCACATGAGGTTTTTTTATCCTCAGTCAAGGATCAACCAGAACCAGCCTCCATTTCTTATGCTATTGCAGCCTCTGCAACTGTTTAAGTTGAAACATTGCTCTTTTAAAAAAAAGAAAAAGAAAAAAAAACTACACAAGCTTGGACAAAATACTTCACGTTACTTTTGTGATTTACTGTGCACCTCCAACAGAAAGGACTAGTTTTTCCCTTGTGACAAGTTTCACAATAGTTCCACAGAATGACACCATATAAGTTGTGGATTACAGTAATAGTCAAGTTGAGCAGAAACCTGATTTGTCAGTCTTCCTTCACTGTTTATTTACATCATGGATACTGTGAGGCACTGTTGTGCCCTTTCATGTGACTGGCTCATAGGGGGATGAATGCTGAATAAAAGTTACAAGCAAGTTTTTCAAAACTCTCCATCAGGGAGAAAAAAAGTCAACTCCAATTTATCAGTTCAAGTAAAGAATTACTCCATTTTTAACAGTAGCAAACCAGAATCCTTTCTTTGGAGGAGACTTCAAGACAAGAAGAATTATGTTCAACAACCTAATGTTAATCTCGTTCAGAGGCTCTACACTTAGTTGTTGTTAGGGTCATTTCCTCCCCACGACCTACCTTGGAATGTATTTGAAGGCATTCTATTGCCTCCTTCAATTCTAGCAGTTTCTTTTCTTCTATCTCTAGTGCCAATATAGATAATGCCAAAACAGAAGGCTAAGGGGAACAGAAAGTAAACGTCAATACTGACAGCCAAGCCTGTTAAGCTTCAGTAAACTCAGTGCACTTGTTATTAAAAACCACTTACTTTGGCTTTAGAGAACATGATTCTGCAGTGACATGCCTTAAGCTGGGCTTCAAGTCTCTCAAAATTAAGATGCTTTCTCCTGTAAAAGAATGGTATTAAGAGTTTAGTATATAAAAATCAGATCAAGACTGCAACAGCCTTAGAAATTTGCTGAGTGTTTAAATACAAAATTACTCAGACATTCTCTTGGATACAGTTTAAAGGGCTCCATCAGTTTCAGAAGTGTTTGTGAAAGAAGAATGACAGGCTTCTTTTAAATTCAGAGGTGTTAGGTATGTCTACACTTAAACCACTACAGCAGTGCTGCTGCTGCAATTCAGTGTATACAGTAACCTATGCCAGTTGCAGGGGTTCTCCTGTCAGTGTAGGTGATCCACCTCCCCCCTTCTGCTGTCAACCTAGTACTGTCTACACCAGGGGTTAGGTTGGCATAGCTACATTCAGGGTGTAGAGTTTTCACACCTGAGAGACGTAGGTATGCCAATGTAAGTTCCCAGTGTAGACCGCCCTAGGACTCAGTTTTTGTACTATAAAATTAAGTGTTGCAGCTTAATGTGCTATTTCTTTGTTTTATGCATAGATATTTTTCTATATACATTTGCAAGACTGGCAACATGGTAAAGTTAAAGTAGTTTTGCCTTTATATCCCTGGTTGTTCTGACCCAGCTAAGGGGTATTACAGGTTTGATGTGCTTACAATATTTGTTGACCAAGCAAGTTTTGATCTTGAAGTAACTAAGGACATTCATGAACCAGTTCTCTTTACAGAGAAGACGTTTTGAAAGACTATCGGCCAGACACTACTGCTGCTTGATCAGCAATGCATTAACCTGCACCTGTTCAGCAAGGCTGTTTCCCCGATCTAAAACTATGCTCTGGGTCATTTTTATTCTAGCTGTAAACAACGTTGTCACTGAAGTTGGAAAAAGCTCCGTTCATCAGAGCACAGTATCAATCCACAGGAATTCATATCAGCCACTTTTTACCTGTTCGTAACTGTTTGCATTCTCACTTTTGATTTAAATTGTATACATGAAAATAGATTACTTGAGCGATTTTCCCCACCAGCCCTTTCCAGTGGGCAGTGAAGCTTCAAAGTCATGGTGAAATAGTTGTTTTACCTTTCACAAGGTAAATTCTCATGGATGAGCAAGTGATAGAGTTGTAGAAACTGAAAGGCAGTTGTAGCTTTGATTCTCCAGTATAGCTTCTCTAACACAATTTTCTCCATTCTCATCATGTCAGATACAGTGAACCTATACTGGCTTATTCGAATTAAGTCAGTGGCTAAGGGAATGTTTCTTTCTTCTTCTTCTGTTGCTTTCACAGCCAGGTAGAAGCAGCTTAGTCCAACACAGCCTAAGTGTTTAGGCTGCACCTAAAAGAGAGAGATCAAGTTTCTTATTATAATGAAAGCATTTTATAGTAAGTCAGAAAAAACAAACATGTATTCAGCTAAATTAGATGTTAGGCTCTTTTTTAAGACAAGCTCTGCAGGTAGCAATCCGCATCCACGCACTACGATATCAGATGCCCAAAATTACTTATCACTCTGCCTTGGAGGAGGATTAATAATAATCTAACTTTAGTGCACATTTCTTTCAAAACACTGAAAGAAACTGGCATGTGCTCAGAAGCGAGTGTGCTTAGTCCTTTTTTAATCTGATGGGGTTGGAATATGCATGGTCTCCAACTGTGGTATGCTTAAACTGCCTTAAGACTGAGTTGGAACATTTTAAATCGCTTACTTTTGATTATTATACAAGTATCTTTGATTACTTTTATTGCGGATAGCATATACAATGGCATAATGAGATCCTTTGGTCACTCTGCAATTATAGGAGTACTCTTCAGTCCCCAAAACTATTGAAACTCTCAGTGCGACCTACATCTGAAGTCTGTTGAGCACCTGGCATTTTGGACAATAACCTTACAGATCTAGAGTAGTAAGATAAAAAACAGTTTACAGGAATGTACATCTTATATTGAAAGGAGTAAGAAAGCCTGTGTACAAAAGAGCAAGAGTAGTTTATTGTTTAAGACTAACCAGAGATGTGAAACTGACGTGTCTGCACAAATTGAGACATAGGCCTCATCTACATCCGAAAATTAAGTAGACTTAACCACATCACTAAGGGGTGTGAAAAATCCCCCCCCCCACCAAAAAACACCATAGTTAAACTGACCAAACCCTGGTATAGACAAACCCACAGGCTGTGTCTTCACTTGGAATAAAGGTGTTCTTAACCAGAGTTAAAAATCTTATTGAAGACAAGACTATGTAGTTTTCACATAGGTGGTTACATTAAAGGCTATGAAGCCTAGCTAACATTTTTTTTTCTTAAGTGAAGGCAAGGCCATTGAAAGTTAGTGCATTAGAGCTTATGTTTCCAAAGCATACCTTCATTTTTGACAGAAACCGGTCTAAGAAATTCACGGCTAAGGAAAATGTTTCTGTATTGAAGCCAAAGAATTGAGTTAAGCTGAGGAGATCTTTTACTTCAAAGTCTCGCAACCTTGCAGTCATTCGGAGGCCATTGTCATGAGCAGTTTCAATTAGTCTCAGGCCAGAAGCCTTTGGCTGATATCTTAACTCTTGTTCCAACAGAGCACTGAGCTGGTATAGCAATTCCTGAGCTTCAGTTGTTACAAGCATTTCAATCATCTGTAATGAGAGAAAAATACTTAATGCAAGACGCTACTAAGAAAAGTCCCAAAATGTCTTTATGGTATGCTGGGGAGTTACAGATTTGCCCCAACATCGATCAGTGGCAAAGATGCTCTTTCAATTACACAAAAGCTCTTCAACGTTCATAACGTTAGCTAGAGCTCCTTAGCTTTATAGAGACTCTCTCCATTGTTCTGGACTGACATTTTCTGCTGTTATATTTCTGAACGTAGACTTTTGATTTTAACAGTACACATTTTACAGAAGATTATTATTATTTCTGGATTTGGGTGGCCTTGTGTGATGGCCAGCAAGCAGCCTTCCCCTTTAGGTTACACCCTGAAACGCCCACATTATACAGGAATCTGGGCTGGCATTTTATGTATGCAAGGAACCCAAACTCAAGTTCAGAAGCATTCCGCCGAGAGAGAGATGTCAGCACTTTGCAGACAGCTGAGCTGGAGCGCTGACTGAAGAGCACAGACACATTGCACACGCGTCAGCTGCCCGAGCCCCTCCAGTCACTCGGCACCTCCCCCTCCACAGGGACATGCCTGGGCTTGTCCGCCCCGCTGGGGAGAAAGGGGACTCGGGCTTATAGACCCCGAGACACGATCTGAGTGCGGGCGGGAGCTTCAAGTCCTCCCCCTCCCAGCAACTGTAGCCCCAAGCTGTACCACCACAGACCGGCTGGGTCATGGGGCAGAGAACCGACCGCCCAGCCTGGAGCCCCTGGTCCCCCAAACCCCCACGCGACCTGCCCAAGACTGGATCCTCCCACCTCCCCCAGCCCACACCCAGAAACGATCGATCCCCGCAGCCGAACCCGCACCCGACATTCCCCCGCCGACCCCTTACCGTGTGACGGGGGCGGGCACCTCACGGCTAACTACTTATAAAACGTTACTTAAAACCCCAGAGTGGTTAACAATAAATAACCGCGCGACGCCACGCAGAGCCGGCCCGAGACCCCACTGCGGCGGCGCCTGCCCCACCACCCTCCGACCCCAGCCCTTATGTAGCGAGGGGAGGACGAGTCCCGCCCCTACTCGCCTCCGGTTGGCTGCTTCAGGGGCTGATCCACCAGCCAGTCGGCCAATCAAGACGCTGACTGAGAGGGAGGGCGAGGCTGGAGTTTACCGGCCTCTGAAGAAGCCTCGGCGGTCGGGAAGGGGAGGACGCAGTGATCCTTAGCGCCGCCTGGCTTGGTCGGTAGGGGGCAGAGGCAGCTCCTAGCACCATGGAAATGTCAGACTGATGCCTGGAAGCAGCTGATGAAGTCGCCAATGGCACCTTGCTTCCCTCCTGCCTAGAGTCCCTGGCTTCTGGGCGCTTTTCTGCTCGGGTTGTGCCAGGAGTCAAATGGCCCACAAGCCATCATGAGCCCTGGAGGGCTAGAATCTGAATCTTTCCAGCACCACCAAATAAGTCTGCTGGCTCCTCTTTGTGTGTTTTTAAGTCCCATAAGCTTTCCCCAATCTGGATACCATTTGACAGAGGGATTCTTTCGGCTGGCACCTTTTACATATTTCTCCAGCTACCCAACAGCTGATGCTCTGGCTTCATTCATCTTGTAGGGTCCTGATGTTTCCTGCTTCTCTTCTAGAAAACTTCAGAGTTAAATTGTTGAATTTTGTTTTAAATTTATGTTCCTCCTCCTTTTGAAGGCATTTAGACATCTGTCTATAACTTTGGTGGATTTCCAGCTTGCACATCTGTATGTCAAGGTAGAAATAACATCTGAGTTGAAGCTTACTTTATCTTTTAATGAAAGCTGAGTTTCTCACCTAATTATATAGCTCTGGGAGCTGGGACTTTAGGGAAAAAAAACATCAAATAATGAGAGATTCAGGCTGAAATCACGAATGTGGGCAACACAGCAAGCTCACCTGGCTACGTCTAAGCAATATAGTATTATGAGTAGGCTTGGCAGAATACATTTTAAAAATAATTTAAAAGGATAATACTGATTTATTAAACTTTTTTAGATTTTTATCTATTTAAATTTTCATATTTGTGCAAAATCATGGGTGTTTTAAGCATTGTTTTCTACTTTTATCTATTTAAATTTTCACAGTTATGGAAAATTATGGGAGGGATCAGACAGTTATTTAATGACAGACACTGAGATTCAAAAGTTAAAGCTTTATAGACCATTAAAACACAAATTGTCAATATCAAAATATACAAAGTAAATATCGTTAAATCAACAAATCATACCTATTTTTACTATTTATTTGCGAGTTCATTGGTAACAAGCCTAATCTGAAAGTCTGAATCATTTGATTTTGACTCTTATAAATTCTGAAGCTGTATTTTTCTTACTTTATCTATCTGTACATTTCTGTTATTATCAATGGAAATTTTTTTCATTGGTTTGTGTGCATATGGTACAATCAATGTTTACCAACATTTATCAACAAAGATCTAATTCTTTCAAGCCTAGCTATGAAGCAGCTTGGCCAGGCTATGTCCAAATAGCACTATGTTACAAGGTGGCACCACCCAGCCATGTCCTACCACTTTCATGACTGGAGGGATATAGTATTGCTTACTCTCACAGTTTTACTGCAAATCTCATGCTATTTGGCTGTGTTTAAAGCCCTAGTTCCTAGAATAATGTGAATGTTTGAAAATCTCAGTTGTCACAAAAACAAAAAAACAAGTTTATAACCCCCAGGTTTGCAAAGCAATGTTTGTGTGTACCCCAAAGGGTCAAAATACAGAAGTCTGATAAAAGGACCCTACATTTATTTATTAAATCTCATGAATTTTAAACCAATTTTATGACTTTTGAGGGCCTAACTCATGCTTGTTGAATACTTGGGACTGAGAGTACTGAGGCAACCTGGGCTGACTTTGTCCAAATGCTATCGTGCTAGGAGACAACCTCACTTAGTCATTCTAAAGCACCACCATCCAAGAGGCAACCTCGTCCAACCATATCCAAATGCCACCTCTTCATCAGGTGACTTGGCTGGTAGTATCAAAGTGCCATCACATCAAAATTCAATTTTGTTCAATTGTTGTACCACCACTAGTCTATAATGTTCACTTACCTATCACTGTGGTATTAGGTGACTTGCTCCAACTGTGATTAAGAGCCACTACGACCACAAGGTGCTTTGGTGCAGCCTTATTAATTTTCTTGGTATCTAAATATTTTTAGGGATAGGAAAGCATCATCATGTAATACCATTTTTGATAAATTGAGTCACAACCAGGATAGATGTTCCAGAAGTTCAAAGATGAAAAAGATGGCAGACCTTTGCTAGATCTACCCATGTGTTTATAAAAGGCCTAATAGAGGCTAAAAATAAATGATCAGAGCTTTAGAAGAAATGCTGAACCCTACCCCAAAGGCTGTTAACAATTTCACATCTTGATACACATCAGCATACACCTACACGATGGTGCATTTTATCCCTCTTTTGAAATATAAAAGTAACTTGAGGGTTGGGGGTTGGGAGGTAGAGGGGTTTGCTGACTGCAAGAAATATGGAATGACAATTAATGTCAGGAGGACAGAAAGGATAAAAATAAGTAAATTTAGCAATGGACAAGGTAGGTAACATCTTTATCTTGATGGTCAAGTGGTGAGTAGTTTCCCCTTTTAGGGTGTCTAATAACATCAAATGGAGGACAGAACAAAAAAAAAAAAACCGGAAGGATACAGCTTGCAAAAGATACATTCAACAATTTTCAAGGACTTCTGTGTTGTCAAAAGTGAAAACTACACATCTGCACTAGATTGCTGAAGTGCAACAAATGATCAACACTCTTGAATGGATATGAGAGCTGGGCACTTAAAAAAGACACCGAGAGATGACTCCGGGAAGTGGAATTTTGGTGTTATGAAAGAAAATTAAAAATTTGCTGGATAACCAAAACTATGAACAATGAGGTGATGAGAAGGATAAGTTTAAAAAGATCACAATTACATGAGACCCTTGGTAAGAGAACAACATCTTTCTGCAGACACATTGCTTGCTGATCACAGAGTGACTCAATTCCAGTACTCAGACTATATCAGCCAAGATTGCAGGCAAACCAGGAAGGGGAAGAAAGAAAGCCAGCTATGTCAGAAATATCACCAGGTGGGCTGGTATCCAAAGGTGAATGGAAGTTTTACAACACAGTCGAGACTGCAAAAGATGGAAGGTGATTGTTGACAGCCTCCGTATCGGAGATGTTGCTTGTAGAAAAAGAGTATTTCGTAATAGTGAAAAACTTTGAATCCATTGTATACTTTCAGGGACTGTAAAAAATGATACAGCAAAGACCTAATTAAAAAAAAAAAAAGTGCATGACTGTCTTTGCACATACACATATGCACCTGCCCTTACATATGGACTTTACTGCATGTAATGAGAAAAGCAGTGGGTTTGCACTTGCACCAAGCTAGACCCCAGGAACATACAAACAGAATATGCAACTAGAAAAAGGGTCAAAGGGTTAACTGGACCTATCCAGTCTCTCTGTCCCCAGACCCAATCTGGGGCAGGAGCCCAATCATCACCTCCAGGTTTGGTTCACCAACATCCAAGGGACACAAACAGTGAGTGTAGCAGGAGCATGAGAAACAATAAAGGGACAGCAGAGAGCAGGCCTTTATCTAAACTGAGCCACAAGAATGCAGTTGGTGCCTGCTTACCACCAGTTTACCATTCGTGGCCTTCCTGGAGTATCATCAAGGACAAAGGAGAAGGGAATTGACCTCAAAAACTCTTACAAATCAAATTGCAGCAGGCTTAAATGCCTGAGGATACAGTCTCCAGCCAGGAGATCTGAAAGTGTCTTAGGGAGTGGGGATTCACTCTCTACGCCAGTGGTTCTCAACTCCGGTCCACCGCTTGTTCAGAGAAACCCCCAGGCACCCTGGGTTGGTTTGTTTACCTGACGTGTCCGCAGGTTCGGCCGATCGCAGCTCCCACTGGCCGTGGTTTGCCGCTCCAGGCCAATGGGGGCTGCGGAAAGTGGCGCGGGCCGAGGGATGGGTTAGCCACCCTTCCCGCAGCCCCCATTGGCCTGGAGCAGCGAACCAGGGCCAGTGGGAGCCGCGATCGGCCGAACCTGCAGACGTGGCAGGTAAACAAACCAACCCAGCGTTCCAGGGGCTTTCCCTGAACAAGCGGTGGACCAGAGTTGAGAACCACTGCTCTAGGCATATATGGCCATTTTCCTGAGCTCTGGGAGCCACAGGTCATTCTGGGATAAAAGGCCCAAGAGCTGAAAGTTGAATCACATTTTTGATCCAATAATTGTGGATCAAAAAAGAAGTAAGGCTGGGGAGGAAAAACTAGAGGCCTAGGCACAGGGTAGAAAGGTCCAGGCTAAGAGGAAATAAAACCAAGCTTTTGCCTTTTAACATTCTGAGAAACCAGCATGCCAAGGGTTCAATCCTATAACCATTATTTATGCTAGGAGGCCTTACTTATATGTAAAGTCAGACACTTAGGCACAAATCCACCCAATTTAGGATTAATCCATTTTTCAGACAGAGTCATTGGCAATCATGTATAGCGGGGTGGCCCACCTGAGCCTTCAAAGGAGCCAGAATTTACCAACATACATTGTCAAAGAGCAACAGTAATGCGTCAGCAACCCCGCATCAGCTCCCCACCCCCACTCCCAGTACCTCCCACCCACTGGCAGCCCCACTGATCAGCACCTCCCCCTCCCTCCCTGTACCTTCTGATTAGCTGTTTCATGGGGTGCAGGAGGCTCTGGGGGGAGGAGGGGAGAGGAGCGAAGGCACAACAGGCTCAGGGGAGAGGGTGGGAAGGGGTGGACTGGGGGCAGGGCCTGTAGCAGAGCCAGGGGTTAAGCAGTGAGCACCCCCCGGCACATTGGAAAGTTGGTGCTTGTAGCTCTATCCCCGGAGTCAGTGCCTATACCAGGAGCCGCATATTAACTTCTGAAGAGCCGCATGTGGCTCCGGAGTCACAGGTTGGCCACCCCGATGTATAGTTTTTGATCATATACATATAATAGACAGATAAGACAGAACTGGT